TGTATCTCTTATGATTAATTGTGTATATATTATGTTTTATTGTGTATATATTATGATTTATTGCGTATCTATTATGATGCATTGTGTCTCTCTTATGCGTCTCTGGCAGTTGGTTTCTGCTTCTTGTGTTGCCGTTGCCCCCCAGCCCCACCCCCCAGGGCTGTGCGTCTCGCGTTCCCATTGGTTACCCGCGGCGTTTCTTGGGTTAATCGCGCTCTCTGATTGGCCAGTCCCCCTTCGCGTTTCTTAGGTGCCTCCTTTGTGTTCAACCCCGGCAGTGAGCCGCCAGTTCAAAAAAGTCGCCTCACTACCTCAACAGAAGGGGTTGTTCGGAGCTCTTTGTAAAACTCTTCGGCTGTGATCATCATCATAATCATCATCATACCCTTCTCCTGTGTGCTGGTGCCCTGCTAGAGCCCACGGAGGTGCCGTCTTTGCCCGCGTCTGCTCGCCAATAGCAGTGCGAAAGTCTTCGCACCAGCGCCGTGGGACTCTGCCAAGGTAATCAACGAGCCGCGCGATCTTACATTTTTTATTTTATATTTTTTTAATATATTTTGTTATGCACGACTCGCAACTACGCGGCCGCGAAGATTTCTTTGTAATTGTGTGGAACTGTCTGGGCGAAGGTGTTTATTTTTTTTTTAATTATTTTTGTTTTGGTTTCGGCGTTGCGTCAGTTGCCTTAAGTCAGTTACTTAATAGGGGAACGAACACGCTGCCCGCTCGCCCGCCCGCCCCAATGTGTACCGGTATAGGCTGGATTATAAGACGCACTTGCTAACCGCTCGTGAGTTGTTTCTTTTACAAAGTCAACATTGGGGATGCGTCTTTTATCATTCGGGAAGTTGTGACCAGACGTGGGACGCTTTAATCCTGTGGAACACGTCTGGGATTCTCGCCGGCCAGATGGAGCGATTGAACGAGCCTCGTTATATGGCACGTGCGGCAACAACGAGGTTTAATGATTAATCACGTCGCAGGATCGTGAGAGATTGCAGCTAAGGCTTTGGGGCGGGGAGGGAGGGCCTTTATCCAGCAGTGGATTGACCATGGCTGGTGATAACTCGGTTTTGTGTTCACGGACCCGTGCCTCCAAAGCGCGAAGCTTCGTTCGAAGTAAAACACCCGCATCACATCAATAATATTAGAGACTTTTTTTGTCATTAACGAAGCTTGGAATCTTGATTTGAAGCTTTCGTGACTGTTAGGAATCCACACTCTTTGGTTCTTTCGGTAAAGTCACGTAGGTAGAAAATGAAATAAAATAAAAAACAAAATCGCGACGTTTCGATCGCAGCACGAGCGGTCGCGACTCGTTTTGCCTGATGACGACCGCCTGTGTTGCGATCGAAACGTCGTGATTTGTTTTATTTTATTTCTAACTACGTGACTTTTACCGAAAGAATCAGAGAGTATGAAGCTTGAAATCTCGTGTGATTCGGGCCCGGGACACAGTTTCGTAGAGGGTGGTCGAGATGTCTTGTGACCCCCCCCCCCTCGCCCGCACTATTTAATTCCCCTAAAACTGTTTTTTGTTCACCAAGCTGTATTAAAAAACGAACATTTATTTGCAACGGAACAAAAATATTAACGGTCAATTAATTGTTGGGGAGGAGGAGGAGGAGGGGGGGGAGAGGTGGTCACAAGACATTCTTTAAGACATGTTCTCTCGGTAAAGTAACGTAGGTGAAAAAAAATATTTAAAAAATCACTTCGTTTCGATTGCAACACAAGCAATCATCATCATGAGGTGTGACAACCACGGCAATACATTTTGCTGCAGGTCACACGAGAGATGTTGAGCACGGTAAGTGTACTAACTACTGCGGTGTGTGTGTGTGGCCGTAGGAGGAGGATGATGAGGATGAGGAGGAGGAGCTCAGCCGTTTGTTGAATTTTGCCGCCGCCTCTCGCGCCACTCGGCGGCTCGCCTGTGCCGAGAGAGAGAGAGTTTTACTGGTAGGAACGAAGTTGTAAACTGAGTGTACCAGCCTGCAATAGATTCATGTGTGCGTCCGTCCGTCCCCTTTCAATACTTTAACGAAGTGAAATCTCGTGCTGTTGAGTGTAAAATCATCAATAGACAGCGCAGAGACTTGATATGTCTTATAAAATTGCGCAAAATTCCAATGTCCCTACCAGCCCACCCTGCAGGGACCTGTTTCATTCACGACGACACCCCCCCCCCTTGTTTGCTGGGGTGCATATATAATAATAATCTTGCGTTTATTAATTGTCGTTTTATGCCAGTTTCTGCGCCTGGGGGAATCGTCTTGTGTGATGAATCCATTCATGAATCGCTCACAGAGGCAGTATAAGCATTCGCGTAGGACAGGAGTCGGCAATCTTGCGGCTCTTTTAAGGACCGAGTCTTGACGTTATTTATTAAGGATCGTCTCGCATTCACGTGCATCGTTGCGGCTCATGAAATGTTTATGGGGGGGGGGGGTTACTGAATTCGAAAAACATTGCTCCTCTTGTTACTTTGGTTGGCGACCCTTGATGTAGGAGAACTCCCCATGGGCGTGGATGTCACCTTGAAGTCCCGTCAAGTGACCTCTGGTCTCCGCAGAGGGCAGAGGGCAGCACTTACTCAACCGCTCTGCCACGGAGAACGAGTTCGTCACGTGGCAGCCAAACTTATTTTAAATCGCGGAACTGGGATTTGTCCAATTTAAGCGCACAACCATATTTAATTTTCGATTTAAAGCTTTCGTGACTGCAATGATTCATCTTCTTTGGTTCTTTCGGTAAAGTCACGTAGAATGAGAATAAAATAATAAATTGATAAAATAAAATAACACAATAATATTCTCACGACGTTTCGGCCACAACACAAGCGGCCTTCATCAGGTGAAGGGAGCGAGACTGTCTGGTAGGACAGCGCTGGAGTGAGAGAGCCACGTTCAGATCACGGCTTTTTAAGCTGTGTGAGAGGAACAAAGAGCCTTGACGAAGGAATTAGCATAAAATTTAGCATTGAAATGGCTGAATGATTAGCTTGTGACTGGTCACAGAAATAGCTATGTTAAAAGTTAAAGCATACACATCCGCAGAGGCACCCATTGTTAAAAGGAATTAGCATAGAATTTAGCATTGAAATAGCTAAATTAAGGCATACACATCTGCAGAGGCACCCCTTGATAATGGGATTAGCATAGAATTTAGCATTGAAATGGCTGAGTGATTCGCTTGTAACTGCTACAGAAATAGTTACTTTCTGGATGTCTTAATTAAAAGGAGACATGATGGTTCAATGAGCCACTCTGTCTACAGGAAAGCTACCCATACAGATGCTTACTTGAAACCGGATTCCCACCACCATCCATCCCAGAAGAACTGCCTCATCAAGACTCTATACCATAGAGCCCAATGCATTTCCGACCAGGAACACATTACCAGTGAACTCAAGCACGTACACCAGGCTCTCAGGGCTAATGGCTACTCCGACTACACAATCCGCAAAGCCATCACTCCAGTCATGAAGAAGGATCCTCTTGTGGAGCCACTCAAAACCATCACCTTACCCTACATTGCAGGGGTCACTAAAAAGATCTCCAAAATCCTGAATAAACACAAGATCCAGGTCCGATTCAACACAGTACACAAAATCCGTGATTTAGTTCCATCTGTAAAAGATGCTCTTCCAGACATACAGTACCCGGGCGTTTACAAACTAAAGTGCCTCTGTGGTAGTAGCTACATTGGAGAAACCAAAAGACATATCTCGGACCGCATCCGCGAACATAAAGCAGACTTGAAACACGGTAAGACGAACTCCTCTGCCGTGGCAGATCACTGTTACAATTCAGTGGGCTCACATGACATTGACTTCTCCAAGACGGAGGTTCTTTGCAAACCAACTGGCTACCATGAGAGATTCGTTCATGAGGCCATTCACATATACAAGCACAGAGACAATTTCAACCGAGAAGATGGATTCAGGCTTAGTAACCACTGGAAAGATGTGTTAAATCATTTCTGTTCTTAATTAATTGTAATTTTACGATGACCTTCAGACCGCAGCTCTTTCGCCAGCATTGCCTCTTAATACCTCTCACACCACGGTTAATGGTATGGTTTACAACATGGAGTATACTAGGGCTTCGCAGCTGTCTCTCTCCCCCTCCTCTGTTCCGACCATGGACGAACTCGTCCGTCTGAACGGGGCCCGTAGCTATCCGTGGTACGGAAATTTGAGGGTAAGAATTCCACCCATTTTTTCGCCATATAGCATTGTGATATATAACGACTTATGGTTGGTAGCTTAGCTGATTGGAGAATATAGAGTTTATTGATAACATGAAGGTAATTTATATTTTAGTTTTTATTGGTTCACTATATAGTACTGTGAATAGCTCAGATGTGTAGTCATTTCTGTGACCAGTCACTAGCAAATCACCCAGTTATTTCAATGCTAAATTCGCCTAGTTATTTCAATGCTAAATTCTCCTGTTTGATTTGTACTAAGTGCCTCGGTGAATGTGTATGCTCTGACTTCAACGTAACTATTTCTGTAGCAGTTACAAGCGAATCACTCAGCCATTTCAATGCTAAATTCTATGCTAATCCCATTATCAAGGGGTGCCTCTGCGGATGTGTATGCCTTAATTTAGCTATTTCAATGCTAAATTCTATGCTAATTCCTTTTAACAATGGGTGCCTCTGCGGATGTGTATGCTTTAACTTTTAACATAGCTATTTCTGTGACCAGTCACAAGCTAATCATTCAGCCATTTCAATGCTAAATTTTATGCTAATTCCTTCGTCAAGGCTCTTTGTTCCTCTCACACAGCTTAAAAAGCCGTGATCTGAACGTGGCTCTCTCACTCCAGCGCTGTCCTACCAGACAGTCTCGCTCCCTTCACCTGATGAAGGCCGCTTGTGTTGTGGCCGAAACGTCGTGAGAATATTATTGTGTTATTTTATTTTATCAATTTATTATTTTATTCTCATTCTACGTGACTTTACCGAAAGAACCAAAGAAGATGAACCATATTTAATGTGATACACTTTTTTTGTGAAACCATCAACTCATTGCTGTACATACACGAATAATAATCCGGTTTGAAAAGAGGCGGCAGGCTGGATTTTATCCGCTCATCTCGAACGCCCCATCTTGGCGACATGAGCTTAGTTAGAATCACCAGCCCACCCTTCGCTTTATACATGAGATACCAAATATTTATTTAACTTAATATTTGTGCCCAGATAGTGAGAGAGTACATTTGTGACAAACAACATATTAATAGGTTGTGTGTCTTAGGTGTGTTTTAAATGCCAATGATATTAGTACTGGATTTTATGGAATCCCCTTACGTTTTTTACTCCATGAAAGGAAATGCATCAAATTGCACGCGATTGAGACAGCACCAGTACAGTAATAAGTGGGTTTTTTTGTAAGTACATTTAGTGCCAGGAAGAACCTGTGTATACTCTCCGGTTCTTTCGGTAAAGTCGCGTAGTTAGATATAAAATAAAACAAATCGCCTGTGTATAGGTGTGTGGTTTTTTCCAGGTTGGGAAAACTATTATAATGCAAACATAAATGCAGTAGTTATTGCCAAAAAAATATTAGTCTTCAGATCTGTGCATTCATAAGCCATGGGGTTCAAAGGAATTTGTTTTAATTATAGTAGTTTGTAAAAATCTATGTATTATGCAAAAACATTTTCTGGAAAGTTTCTGTGGAACCAACCAATACCATTACCTTCTGAACATGAGACATTCTGGGTCCATTGAGACCATATGGTCAATATTTGTGTGGAATTGGGCACACAAGCACATGAATGTTGTGAACTTGTATGTGAGTATTAATGTGTATTGCTTATTGACACCTTCACAGAAACACCACTCCTCACCACTGACGTAAAATTAGTTTTGGGATGTTCATTAAGTTCTCGTTTTCAAGACTTATACTTTAAAAAATTACAGCCAAGCATATAGGTAACGCATCTAATTTTGGCTTTACTCCAAGTCCCTTGGAACAGAATCGCATGTTGATTCAAGTAAAGATACAGAGATCCTCTATTCTTTACCCATCTCTACTCTCTATCTGACAGTAATATTCCGACTGCTGCATCCCCTCGCTGCTCCAAACCAACGAAATTTTCCATGAAAGGGAGGGAATTCAAAATAAATTTTGGGTTTGCCAGATGCAGGCTTTCAAACTTAAGTCTGAAGCCCTTCATTTTGAAAAAAAACCTTTAAAAGGACTCTCAGGGACATCACCGAGTGATGTCACTGTAATGTATATCAGAATATAAATTTATGCTGGAGGAATCTGATGAGCTATAAAGCTCTGTTTCACAGATGTCCAGTATATGATATACATTATAATGCATACCGTAAAACAACATAGTTGTGAAAAGAGACTACCTAAATTAAGTACAAATAAAAGCTTGAAAACATTAGCCAAGTATGGAGAGAAAAAATAACAGGTAGTGAGAAATCAATAAAACAAAGAAGCGATAGACCAACACTATATACATGGAGATTATAATAAATCATGAAGAAATAAACAAGTACTGCAGATAGTAACAGCGACAACATAATGATCGGGTAGCGAGTCAGAGGCAAAAGTAATACAAGTATATACAACAACAAAGTATGGAGAGAAAGCAACTAAATTTGATCAATAGAGCAAAATACAATAATTTGACATGATATGAGTGGGTCATGGAATTGTTGGAATCACTTGTAATTTCTGGGATATTGTAAAAGCTTGCCATCTAGTGGCTGAGCAGCTGTTGAGGCTCTGACGCCACCAGGCCACTCTCCAGACAGCGTGTGCCGAGTCCCAATGTGCTCTCACCGAGTCACACTGTGGCAACGATAACTGACCAAACCACGAGAATTCCATTTGAAATCAATGGTGATTCTACGTAAGATTCCTCGATTGTTGGAATTATTTATTTTACAGGATTGTTCAATAGAATCTTCATTAATTTCAATGGAGACTTCTGAATCTCCATTATAACTCAGATGGTCGTGGGAATGTCAGTGTTGACGTGACATGGCAAGGTTCAGCTATTGCCCATACAAATACTGGCAATTCCAAAGATCACATGACTGATTAGAAATTGTAATTCCTGCAGGAATCTCCTAGAGTAGGATCGTGGAATTGTAATGTGATTCCTGCAGTTCATATTGTTTTATGATGTACTGTACAGGCATGTGTGTTGCCAGAGCTGAATAGTCATAAGCAAATGATAAGCAGAAATTCTTAACACATCGCAGATAAGAGGAATAATGAAAAAAAACAAATGTGTCCATATTGGATTAATATATTCAAGTATTAGGTATTTGTACACTGTTTATCTAATGTAATACAAAAATTGCACCAATAACATTTTACATGTGTTTATCTTAAAAAAAAGTGGAACCCACAATGGTGTAAGGCAACTGGTGGGTTGGGTGAGACTGGCCTTACTCAGTCTTTACACTATAACAATAGGTTTTACCCTTTCTGGCAATAAAACAGGTGTGAAGATGTTAAAACACCAAACATAATCCTTATTCAAGCAATCCTGTCTGCATTAACCACACGTACTTGTGAACATGCAAACAAAAAAATATGCTCTGATCTAACCTATATATTGTCTTTGAAAGTGATTGGTCCACACCAGAGACAACTTTCTTTTGAGCCTAGTCTCAAAGTTTTAGACCAGAGAATGCCTATTGTTATATTTTAATACTGCCAAGAAGGGTCCCAGTCTTAACACTGTCTAAATGTAATATTTCCCTTTTTGACACTTAAGCCATAATTCACGTGTGAATGACCAATATAATTGATGTAAACAAGTTGATTGGTTGAGATGTTTGTGCAGTGGGCAGTTCCAGATTTACCTTCCTGGAGAGACAGGAGTGGTAACGCTGGGTTAGGATGTCGTCGGGGGAGGAGAGCTGTCGGCAGTCACCTGTTATACCTGGAGAGAGTGACCGAGGAAGCTCCGTCTCGTCCGACTTGCAGGTAGTGTTTTGAGAATTTCTTAGCTCACCAGGTGTGTAGGTCTATTTATGGTCGTTGCATAACCTATTCGTAAGCAAATGTGCTTCAGAACCAGTTAATCAGACGTCGGCAATTACTTTTGCAGCTGCTGCATGGAAATTAAATTCATTATCAAAGCCTGCCATCTGCTGTAATATGAATAATAAACATTTGCTGACATTTTGCAACATGCATTATGTGGTGGTGTCAGTTCCAATTTCAAAATTGATAGCAACAATAATACGCTCATTTAGATGAGTTGTAAAAATAATACAATAATACTTACATATAGATAAGAATGCACTTCCCAACTTAACTATACTTTAGTTTCTCTTGTAGATGAATATGAAATATTGTAATATAAATCAATTTAATAGCAAGTCACATTGTTGATATAAAGTACCTTTCACGTTTGAGGTTTTAAACACTTTTATGAAGATTCATGGATTTTCCATTCACCTACTATGACTTTCCATGCTGCATAGTGTATAATACATGAGATTTTTCACATTAACTTATACAATTAACTGCACTTCAACTATATTAATAGAAGCAATCTTGCAGTATGCACTTGACAGATTGAACATTTGCAATAACATTTGTGGGATAGATGCAGGCAATATTTGTACTTCATACAAGTGTTTACTATAATTGTAATGTAGTAAACAGTGGACCTGATTAACTGCATTAAATGAAGGTTGAATTGTATTTAAGCATGCGTAGCTGAACATGAAAACAAATCAGCCTGGCCACAAATGACAGTGGGAACAGAGGAAGAAATATGGCAATAAGAAGTAAGGCTATGGTGGAGAGTGCTTTGATTATATTTTTGCATTTGAAATAGCATTAGTCTTTTCATCAATAACAAATATATTGGCTGCGTTGATAGTTTTATTGTTCAATGTACAATGGTGAAAAATAGAAGTTGTTGGGTTTAAATGTAGGTATGCATCTCGAGGTTTGCATTGGGAGAGTAGTTCCCTTTGCAATACCTGCCTCAATGTGAATAAATGTGTACCGCAAGGTTGGCCAAAGGTTGCTGTCAATTACGTTTTAAGTAATATATAAAATATATATTTGGGAATGTTAAATTACTATGCATCTACTATAAAAACGCCATGTAGTATAAATGGTAGCGCAGAAATGTACTTGCTTGTAAGGGAATTGTATACTGCATAAAGCTTGATCAAATAAGTACGGTAAATATGTGAAAAAATATTAAGTGTTCACATTCTTATCAGACCTCCCTCTAAAGTGAACAACCATAATTTCCATGTAATTTGTAGCTAGAAAAATGGAACGACATACACAGCGGAAAAAATAAAACCCAAACGCAATATAAATTGGAAGGCATTTGGTAGAATTGCCTTCGAAATCAACATGTGTTAAACTGTGGAGTGCAATTCAGGAATGGTGTTTCTCCTTGTGGACTTGTACTATCTAGGAAGAGTACGAGGAGCTGTTGAGGCACGCTGTGGTGATGCCCAAGTGGGACGCCACCAGACCCCTTCCCAGGCAGCGCGTGTCGAGTCGTACTGTGGCCACTCTCACCGAGGACCAAGCCACACCAGGTGTGACCTCCGGCCCCTGGGCCACTGTGACAGTTGTAAAAAGAACCTGCCTATGTTTAAGGGGCCAGGCAGTTGCTGTAGCGGTCTAATAGCTGTTTTAGAGTCCCGGGTATCATTACTAAGAGCCTGTAGACATCGGCTTGCTGCCATGGTTTAAAGGGCATTCACTTGATTCCCTATAGGGTACAGTGAGGGGAAAAAAGGATTTCATCCCCTGCTGATTTTGTACGTTTGCCCACTGACAAAGAAATGATCAGTCTATAATTTTAATGGTAGGTTTATCTGAACAGTGAGAGACAGAATAACAACAACAAAAAATCCAGAAAAACGCATGTCAAAAATGTTATAGATTGATTTGCATTTTAATGAGGGAAATAAGTATTTGACCCCCTCAATCAGATTTCTGGCTCCCAGGTGTCTTTTATACAGGTAACGAGCTGAGATTAGGAGCACACTCTTAAAGGGAGTGCTCCTAATCTCAGTATGTTACCTGTATAAAAGACACCTGTCCACAGAAGCAATCAATCAATCAGATTCCAAACTCTCCTCCATGGCCAAGACCAAAGAGCTATCCAAGGATGTCAGGGACAAGATTGTCGACCTACACAAGGCTGGAATGGGCTACAAGACCATTGCCAAGCAGCTTGGTGAGGTGACAACAGTTGGTACGATTATTCGCTAATAGAAGAAACACAAAAGAACTGTCAATCTCCCTCGGCATGGGGCTTCATGCAAGATCTCACCTCGTGGAGTTGTAATGATCATGAGAACGGTGAGGAATCAGCCCAGAACTACACGGGAGGACCTTGTCAATTATTTCAAGGCAGCTGGGACCATAGTCACCAAGAAAACAATTGGTAACACACTACGCCGTGAAGGACTGAAATCCTGTAGCGGCAGCAAGGTCCCCCTGCTCAAGAAAGCACATATACATGCCCGTCTGAAGTTTGCCAATGAACATCTGAATGATTCAGAGGACAACTGGGTGAAAGTGTTGTGGTCAGATGAGACCAAAATGGAGCTCTTTGGCATCAACTCAACTCGCCTTGTTTGGAGGAGGAGGAATGCTGCCTATGACCCCAAGAACACTATCACCACCGTCAAATATGGAGGTGGAAACATTATGCTTTGGGGGTGTTTTTCTGCTAAGGGGGCAGGACAACTTCACCACATCAAAGGGACGGGACGGGGCCATGTACCGTCAAATCTTGGGTGAGAACCTCCTTTCCTCAGCCAGGGCATGGAAAATGGGTCGTGGATGGGTATTCCAGCATGACAATGACCCAAAACACACGGCCAAGGCAACAAAGGAGTGGCTCAAGAAGAAGCACATTAAGGTCCTGGAGTGGCCTAGCCTAGCCAGTCTCCAGACCTTAATCCCATAGAAAATCTGTGGAGGGAGCTGAAGGTTCGAGTTGCCAAACGTCAGCCTCGAAACCTTAATGACTTGGAGAAGATCTGCAAAGAGGAGTGGGACAAAATCCCTCCTGAGATGTGTGCAAACCTGGTGGCCAACTACAAGAAACGTCTGACCTCTGATTGCCAACAAGGGTTTTGCCACCAAGTACTAAGTCATGTTTTTCAGAGGGGTCAAATACTTATTTCCCTCATTAAAATGCAAATCAATTTATAACATTTTTGACATGCGTTTTTCTGGATTTTGTTGTTGTTATTCTGTCTCTCACTGTTCAAATAAACCTACCATTAAAATTATAGACTGATCATTTCTTTGTAAGTGGGCAAACGTACAAAATCAGCAGGGGATCAAATATTTTTTTTCCCTCACTGTACATACAGTAAGACACAACAGTGTAGTCTCATGAAGTGTGAATTGTTAGTCTCATTTTCATATATTTAATGGTGTTAAGTGCATGATATTCACTCATGTAAAGTACTAATTTGCTAAAAATCTGAGCACATGTACTATTTATTGAATTACATTTTTGACTACAGATTTAATGCACCTATATAGTAAAAGTTTACTTAAATAATTGAGCTTTAAAATGCTTTATGTTCTACAAAAATACATAATTATGTTGATATTTTGGTTCAATGATTGTTTGTGCAGATTGCATGAACTATAGAATGTTATTGTATACAGGAAATCCTTGCCCATCACAGGAGTTACATTCTTGAAAATAGCCTCAATTGGCAAATCAGCGACCCGTAAACGCAAAGGCAAATGAGAAAACTAGAGTTTGGTTCACAGTTTGCAATACGACATCCCCTCTTTTTGTTTGGTGTTACCCTACATCAACCCAAACGTTAAACAGGAAGTATTTTGAACGTTAAATATGATTCATGTTTTCTAGTGTTACATATGACTTGTGCTATAAATGTATAGCATGAAAATTTCTTATTGTAGTGTACAATGCTGTAACACATTTCCATGTACAGTACTGTACACTACACAAATAAATATTGTGCCTCACAGCAGACTTGGAACATGTGACCTGGGAACCGTGATGGGCCACTTGGGAGACAAGATAGCACATGTGTTCCGCAGAAGCAGCATCATCGCGAGCAGTGCAGTTACGATGCATACAGGAATCTTGCAGTCAACCGCGAATGGTCGAGCCACGGGCACGTTTGGCGAACTGTACCTCAATAAATTTGGTGCAAAACCGTGAAAGCTAAACCCACGAGAGGAAAGGGTTTGCTGTCCAGTAGTTTTTATAAAGCACAAGCAACAACAACATCTGACAACATGAGCTACAGTTATCTGCCTAAATTCCTATGTCAGGCAATGCAGATTAACGAGCATATTTTTCAGTTTTGCTGGTTTATCAGGAGGGCAGAATAGGGCTCAGTTTTGGCACTTTGTAGATGTGTATGCGCCTTCACGATTTGAGGTATACAAATGCAACCTGTCTCATGTACAGTAGATATAATTGCACACTTTATGAAAAATAGGGATGATTTTAATGTTTAGGTTATGTTAGTTTTTCTCTATCAAAACAATATTGTACGTTTTGTTGTATATGACTTGGGTTTTCTTGCCATCTTCATATACATTGTCAACCGATAGTGTACTCTGCATCTTTGTATAGAATGTATTGAGTTCTCTTCTGGAGCCCATTGCATCAATAAAACCCATGCAAGACTTTAGTCATACTTCCTTTCTAGAACTCAATGCATCAGCAGAAACACGTGATATTGCTAAATGGCTGAGAAATGACATAGACCTTCCTCTGAAAACCTGCAGTGATATTTATTGACCTCTAGGATGTCCGCTTTAGCAGTACAGATTAATGAGTGGTTTTACTCTGCATTTACTCAATAAGCCATTAGAAATGGGGAAGGTAAACTTTAGTGGAGCTATTGTTATATTTTAAGTCCAGTCATTAATTGCCAGGATGAGGTCATCTCTAAAGTTGATGGCCTGTTTTATATTGCTTGCCGTATTTATAGTCAAGCCTATGATCTGGGTGGTGCTCAGTATGTGTTAGTCTTCCATTAATCGTGTTGTCTACTACAATACATGTCTGGTAATTGTAATACTCATGAGACCATAGGTAGATTGTTATATTTTATGTTGTCATGGAACGGCCCTGTCATCTAAATGTTTTCAAAATTATCTGCATTTGTTTAAAATAGTTAATGTGGTGATTGTATTTTGCTAAAGAGTATACTTTGCTTCAGCTCTTGAAAACATACTCTGGATGAAGTCATGTTCCCTACAAATTTAAATCACTCATGGGAGAAAAATACCAAAGCTACATGTTACTCTTCAGCAGTTTCATATTATCATAATTAAATTTTGAGTATCTTTACACAGAGGATATTGAGTTCCTTCATGAAATATATTAGCAGAGCCACATGTGACATTGGTAAATGAACCTGAAATGACAAGACATTTATCTTAAAGGATTCAATGGTTTTAATACAACCTCTTGGCTGTACTATTTTTCAAAATACCTTCAGAAATGGGGAAGGTAAAATTAAATGTAAAGATGTACTTTTGCTGTATTTTAAAATGTTGGTCATACAAGTGTGCACATGTGTGTGAATCTAACCTGGTACCTCATGGGCTACATTTTGCTAGCTTTTAATGCTTAGGAATGTAAATACAAATGCTTTGTTCCTGGTTGACTGCGATGGTGAGGCATGTCTCCTTTTGTGTTACCTCACCATGGCCTGCAACTCAAGCACTTTAAATGTAATTTTAAACATGTAGATCATCGATAATTATCTGGCGGCTTTGGGGGGAAGGGGGCACCGGATTTTTTTAAAAATTCCGGATAATTACATCATTATTTACATTGGCTTATTTATTTTTTAGCTGTTGTATAAATGCATTTTTTGTGTTTAAAAATTTGTTTACTATATGAAATTGGCATAATTAAATATACAAATAGACACATATCCCAATGTAAAAAAGTTGCTTTATTTACTGCACCATACTTACCACTCTAATCTCGAAGACTGCATGGGGTGATGTATGTATCGATTTAAAGCTTTCGTGACTGCAAGGATTCATCTTCTTTGGTTCTTTCGGTAAAGTCACGTAGAATGAGAATAAAATAATAAATTGATAAAATAAAATAACACAATAAAATTCTCACGACGTTTTGGCCACAACACAAGCGGCCTTCATCAGGTGAAGGGACGAGACTGTCTGGTAGGACAGCGCTGTCCTCCTGACAGTCTCGTCCCTTCACCTGATGAAGGCCGCTTGTGTTGTGGCCGAAACGTCGTGAGAATTTTATTGTGTTATTTTATAAATGTATTATTTTATTCTCATTCTACGTGATTTTACCGAAAGAACCAAAGAAGGTGATGTATGTACTACGCTGTTATTTCAACGACATGTGTATGACGATCGCCGGACTTTTGCGATTGCCGAATTTCACGCACTTCTCGCCGGATCGCACGGCATAATTTTTTTTTATCACTAGTTATTAGTCATGATGCTTTGTGTACGTGCAGTATTTTCATTGTTTAAATTGTTATATGTATTGCGTAATGTACTGTATACAATATTTGAAGCTGAAATCAAGCATCTCTACGTATGTTGTCACGCACATGGTACCAACACATGGTGCCGATGGCAGGACTGTGGAGCGGTTTTGAATGATCGGCCCGGGACTGCCACATGATTAGATTCAGAGGATTAAAGATTATTAATTCACTTCTTTTGGATCCTACCAAAGACCACAGCTGAATCTGTTCTGTTCCCATGTTGAGCCTTATTCTTTTTCTCATGTAAATGATGTACACGGTAACCAACAAATTCCGTTTCTTTTGTCAGCACTGGCTATGGAAGAAACAACGCAAGGCAGACAGCAGCATACATCGTCCACCTCCGAAAACACAGCAGCAGGCAATGACAATGTTTCTTCATCCGTCATCCGACAAGAGCATCGAGAGAATGGCTCTGAGCCACGAGAGTCTGCACCCGGTACAAAATGCACTCTTGAGTTAATATCCAAAAACACATGACATTGCGGTGTTATGCTCGTATTATCCTGCCAGCGCTTACTGATGCATCTTGTTCAACAATATTACATTTATAATGTGTAATTGTCGTGCAAAGAGATGGAGTCATTTGGAAATGCACAGTCTTTCTCAGCTCTTTAATGTAAATAGTATTTTGCTAATTAAAATGGAAAATTACTGTAACATAAATGTAATAAGTCTGCTAACTGAAACATTTAAAATATGAGTAACTTTATGCCACGCGGATACTTTGAAGAATGTGTAGTGTTAAGGGGAATATGTTTAATCATCTACGTCACATCCCCACAGTGCCCGTTCCTCTGGCGAGTCAACTGCTTCTCCAGACCCTCGGCAGGGTCTCTCCAGAGTCGGAGACAGGAGGGCTCACACTGCTTGGTCAAGAATCCCACTTAAACCAAGATGAAGTTAGAACCCAGCCACTCCTCCCAGCTGACAAATTGGAAAGAGTTGGGGATATACTGGACACTTGGTATTCTAACCTCAAGGTACGAACATTGATCGTAAACCATGGAAACTTAAACGAAATATTATTTGTATGTACCCCATCTAACTTGACACCGAGTGACATCATGTTAAAATAATCTTATTTACAGAATATTTGGGGGGTTTTTCATGTTCAAATGCTCTGCATATAGTCCCTTAAAATGTTTCTCAAACCTTATGTAAGAAAAATATTTTTTTATATTATGGATAGTTCTCCCATTGTATTCATTGAAATGTAGTTTTTCAATGCGAATTGTAAACCAGTTTAGCAAACATGGAAAATATGTACACTCTTTCAAGCATTGAGTACAATGCTGAAGTTGGAAGTAGAAATGTTACTTTACAATGGGAAAGACAACACACTGTTGATGGTGGCCTCATTACTCAATGCAACATATATAATCCCCTTATTACTCTTAAATTGGGAATATGCTGTTCTATTAATTAAATTGTTACTATCTTGACTTCAAGCTTTCGTGACTGCAGGAATTCATATTCTTGGGTCTTTCGGTAAAGTCACGTACAAAGAAAAGAAAATAATAATAAAATATCACGACGTTTCGATCGCAACACAAGCAATCGTCATCAGGTGAAAAAATAGATTTAACTGCCTCTACGGGGAGGGTTTCGACACGACTATTAGATCTTTTAACAAACTTCGAGACAAGAAGGCTCATCTGATTGAGTCGCTCAACTCTCTTGAGTTACATTAACAGGCTAAATGTCTCACTAACACAGCCACCGTTGCTCGTTGGCCTCGATGTGTTGGTTTTCGGTTTTCCTACATTGACATGCTAATCTCTCGCGTAACAATGGCCACCTCCACAGCTTCATCGTCGTGGAGGAGCTCAGCTCTCCGACCTTACATTTACATGCAAATTTCATCTCTAGCCCCGCCCACTTCGGTTATGACCCTTGGGCTACACCCATCTCAAACCTTTATAACACCCTGCCTTAGCAGCGCTCCCGCTAATTTTTTTCCTGCCTCAGTAGCTCTCCCGCTATTTTTTCCAATGATGACGGTTGCTTGTGTTGCGATCGAAACATCGTGATATTTTATTATTTTTTATTATTATTTTTCTATCTACGTTGCTTTACCGAAAGACCCAAAGAGAATATGAATTCCTGCAGTCACGAAAGCTTTAAGTCTATCTACAGTGAGGGAAAAAAGTATTTGATCCCCTGCTGATTTTGTACGTTTGCCCACTGACAAAGAAATGATCAGTCTATAATTTTAATGGTAGGTTTATTTGAACAGTGAGAGACAGAATGACAACAACAAAAATCCAGAAAAACGTATGTCAAACATGTTATAAATTGATTTGCATTTTAATGAGGGAAATAAGTATTTGACCCCCTCTCAATCAGAGAGATTCTGGCTCACAGGTGTCTTTTATACAGGTAACGAGCTGAGTTTAGGAGCACACTCTTAAAGGGAGTGCTCCTAATCTCAGCTTGTTACCTGTATAAAAGACACCTGTCCACAGAAGCAATCAATCAATCAGATTCCAAACTCTCCACCATGGTCAATTCCAAAGAGCTCTCCAAGGATGTCAGGGACAAGATTGTAGACCTACACAAGGCTGGAATGGGCTACAAGACCATTGCCAAGCAGCTTGGTGAGAAGGTGACAACAGTTGGTGCGATTATTCACAAATGGAAGAAACACAAAAGAACTGTCAATCTCCCTTGGCCTGGGGCTTCATGCAAGATCTCACCTCGTGGAGTTGCAATGAGCATGAGAACGGTGAGGAATCAGCCCAGAACTACACGGGAGGATCTTGTCAATGATCTCAAGGCAGCTGGGACCATAGTCACCAAGAAAACAATTGGTAACACACTACGCCGTGAAGGACTGAAATCCTGCAGCGCCCGCAAGGTCCCCCTGCTCAAGAAAGCACATATACATGCCCGTCTGAAGTTTGCCAATGAACATCTGAATGATTCAGAAGACAACTGGGTGAAAGTGTTGTGGTCAGATGAGACCAAAATGGAGCTCTTTGGCATCAACTCAACTCGCCGTGTTTGGAGGAGGAGGAATGCTGCCTATGACCCCAAGAACACCATCCCCACCGTCAAATATGGAGGTGAAACATGCTTTGGGGGTGTTTTTCTGCTAAGGGGACAGGACAACTTAACCGCATCAAAGGGACGATGGACGGGGCCATGTACCGTCAAATCTTGGGTGAGAACCTCTTTCCCTCAGCCAGGGCATTGAAAATGGGTCGTGGATGGGTATTCCAGCATGACAATGACCCAAAACACACGGCCAATGCAACAAAGGAGTGGCTCAAGAAGAAGCACATTAAGGACCTGGAGTGGCCTTGCCAGTCTCCAGACCTTAATCCCATAGAAAATCTGTGGAGTGAGCTGATGGTTCGAGTTGCCAAACGTCAGCCTTTAAACCTTATTGACTTGGAGAAGATCTGCAAAGAGGAGTGGGACAAAATCCCTCCTGAGATGTGTGCAAACCTACAAGAAACGTCTGACCTCTGTGATTTCCAACAAGGGTTTTGCCACCAAGTACTAAGTCATGTTTTGCAGAGGGGTCAAATACTTATTTCCCTCATTAAAATGCAAATAAATTCATAACATTTTTGACATGCGTTTTTCTGGATTTTTGTGTTGTTATTCTGTCTTTCACTCTTCAAATAAACCTACCATTAAAATTATAGACTGATCATTTCTTTGTCAGTGGGCAAACGTGCAAAATCAGCAGGGGATCAAATACTTTTTTTCCCTCACTGTATCTGATTTTAAAACATGTTCTATGTGTTACAAACGTGACAATGTTGATCACCGCTTGGCTGTTTCCTAGCCGTCAACTCTTTTACTACAACCTAACAATCGTGACTGCATTTAGAAGTCATTGTATCAGTAACTGCAAATGTTTGTCCTTTGTTTAGAGAAATGTTCTGATGGAGCTGGGTCAGTGGATGCAGTCCATGCAGCAGGAATACAAGAAAGAGTGTCAGGAAGAGCAGGAGAGGCATGCGGCTGAAGTCGGTCAGTTACATGCCCAGTTGGGTGACCTACGCCAACTGCTGCACACCTTTGACAAATCTGTCAAATGCAAGGACCAGGTGAGGCTAAATGTTAAGGCCTTGTTAAAACTTGACAGCACCACATTATATCGGATGTCGTAGCGATGTGTTCATGTGCTGGATGCATATAGTTGTATTTTGCAGCAAAATGCATAAAAATGTCAGCCAACAAAGTACATAGAATAACCTCTGTAAAATGTGTATCTTGTGATTACTGATGATTATACATTCCCCATTTTAATTTCCATCGTAAAACTATGTACAGTCTATACAGTGACACCTTAAAAACACTAACTTTTAATTCCATGTATTATGTAGTTCACTGTATTATTTCAACCAGGCTTAAACATGACATTGTTATTGCATATTTATATTAATTAAAAATTGCACATTTGGTTGCCTTTACTTGTAGTTGTGTGCTTTACTTGGGAGCTACAGTCACGGGGTTCTGGTCATGGGCCCAGTCAAGTGTTTTGGTCACACGGGTTCTCCCATGGTTTGTCACATTGAAAAGTGTAAGGTATGGGCACTGGCGGAGCCAGTGGGGGGGGGTGGGGTGGGGTGGCACATAGCCCCCCAATGATCCGATCGAAATCCCTAATTTCGATTGGATCATTGGGGTTTATTAGTGATAAATCGGCGTTTTGTGACCCCCCACTGCCACTGTGTAGCATATTATTATGTGCCAGGAACTCTTATGAGATGATAGGACAATAGTTTGAGTCCATAATTGGCAATAAGTAACGGTAAAGCAGTTGTAAGTGACTCAGAATTGTGCGCAGTTGCGTACACAGCACACGACTTCCCTGAAAACACACCTTCACCGAGCGCAATGCCGATCACACACAGTTCGAATTCGACCCTCGATCGATGGCTGCGACATCGCCGCACACGCGTCGAATAAAAAGCAAGGGACAAGTCCTTACTTACTAACAACTGCTATCATTTTTCATTGCTGGAGGGGTTGCCCCCCGCCCCCCCCTACCTGAAAATCCTGGCTCCGCCATTTGGTATGGGTAATCTCTAGAGGGTGGTGCTATGGGCCTGTGGGTTTCCAGGCTGTTCTCTATCCTTATGGCTGCCTCTCAGTGAATAAAGTTGCGTATTTTAACCTTACTGTCTCTTCATTGTGAGAGTAGACATTTGTAAGGCGGCATCTGAGTTCGCATATACTATTTAGGGGCGACAACCTAAAATGTTACACGACACTACAGATGCCACTATATAAATTGTCACCGACTAAAGAGTAACTTGACACCAACACGTTTTTCTTTACAACGGATATTTAACCAATGCAACAGATGTTGGTGAATGAGCAAGGTTTCAGTTGTATAGTGTTTCTTGACAAATGCAGAGAAACAGTATTCTACGCAGTCTATTTAAAAAAAACGATATAATTTGAGCTTTGATGAAAATATCCTCTCCTCAAATATAACGACTAACTACATTGCCTGTACACTATTGACGTGTATACTTATAGGTAAGAGAGATTTTGCGAATCAAATCTGATTTTTATGAAGGTAACTCCCATATAGTGACAGCAGTTTTACACAACCTACATCCTCTAGTCCAACTGCATTGTTGGTGTGATCAATGTTAATTACTGTATACAGATTTTCAATGTCTCACTGCATATTAATTAATCTCTATCATGAATTAATGTTAGCATGACTAGGTATTGTCATAATATTTAAGCAAAGCAATGGGTACGTGCATAGGTGTTAAGCCTTTTCATTTGGAGTAATCCACCCGAATTATGGTTACACGTTTGAAATTTACTGCAGAAAAAAGGTGTATTATATATTTACAATAGTGAAAATAATTTCCTAACTATTTGCCTTATTTTCCTCTCAAAAACCTCTAACTTTGTTTAATGTTTGGAACCTTTTCAGTGAGCAGTGAAGTGTTTTTTCTTCACACTTTGGGCTAGGTCCAAACTTGATTTATCATCGCCATTCCAAACTAAAATATGCATTCTGCAGCCATATTTTATTGCAAAGATATTGATTGCATTGGTGTAGAAAATGTATTAAACTTTTGATGAGGCATTCCTTGGTCCACGATTGGTATATTTTTCAAGATGATTTATTTGGAAATTGCTTTAATTATCACAGGTGATCTCAAACCTGACAAACGGACTGCAGAAGGAAAAGGAGAAAATGGAGAAACTGCGGGCGTTTACCCACTGGAGGCTTCGATATGCAGATGAACAGCAAGAGGTGATTTTCCAGATTTCGTGCCATGGAATTACTGTTGCATATCAATTAAACCCCTTTAGTGATTCATTCCTGGGCCCAATTATCATAATGGGATGAGAGAGGCTCAATATGATTTGTATCTTTTTTTGTAAGTGACCTTTTTTGGAAATCAAATGTTGTATTGTTGATGACACAGTTGATAAGACATTTGATTTTTCAGTAAATTTGGGCAGAGGACTAAAAATACTAAAATAAAACGATTCTTTAAATGGTCTCCTATAAATTCCTCTACCCTATTTAAAGCATTTGAAAGTCTCCAATTATCCTAATATTTCTCAAGAGCCTCTAATCTTTTTGAAATAATAATTCAGCCCAGGAATGAATCACTAAGTGAATCATGTTCATGATGATTGTTTAATTGACCTCATTGCAACAGGGCTACGCATAATGCAGTGTGCCAGCAACATGTTCTAACTTGCTTGTAATACAAATTACTTTATTGAGTAATGCATGTTTGAATATTGAAGGGTTTGCCTGTTACACAGTAGATTCTAGCAGGTAATAATTAATATGCCAATTTACAAACTATCAGGAAACCACTTTCATTTGACTCTTATCAGGCCCCATGGTATAAAGTGCAATCTCCCTCTCTTATTCACTGTTTCTAATCTCTCTATATATGCTTGCAATGCTTTAAAGGTATTTACTGATACATAATAAAATGCTACATACGTTGTAATCTTGCTTCTTATTTATTTTCTTGGAAAGCAGCATTGTTGTTATTTGTGCATGTGCACCACTGCCACCGCAATATCACCAAATAGTTTCGGTGACGTTCGGCTGGTTGCAAAAATCTTGAAAATAATGGGGCTTTTACTTTGGTTGAAAAACAAGACGTTGCCAAAAGGAATGGTCGTATTGTTCAATCGTACGTGTTACTTGCCATTGTTCAGGTGTTTTGTAGCCGCCTGGCAAGGCAGCACTATCGCCGAGCGCTGACAAAGAAAGTGTGGGCCGCCTGGCACTCGCTCGTGGAGATACGCTGGCAGCAGCGTGTGGAGCGCGCATGCCAGGCCCGTGCACAGGAAGTTTGCATCCAAGTGGGCAATGACTACGAAGCCCGCATCATCGCGGTATGGCAAAAATATATAAGAAACTAACACGCATGCTAAATATGTGTTGTTGTTTTTCTTTATCACAGGTACATATTCATAATAATGATTTTTGGGTTAGATCGTGTGAATATAAATGTGTCGTTAACCCACCACCACCCGTTACAGCCAATTAGTAAGGTTCGTCACGTAAATAAAACGTGCCAATGAGCTACCACTTCAGCACATCGGCGTGATGGCGAGTCAACTCACAACATTTACAATTGAGTGTGACATGCCGCTGGTGATTGCAACCAGCTTCATCAGGCGACTTGCCAGAATTGTGAAGTCTTCCTGCTTTCCGGTCTTAAAAAGAGCAGTGTGATGTCATCACTGAGCTTGCGTATCAAATTAACAAGTAAATATCTCTGAGATCTTAATTGTGACCCCTAAAACATGAAGTAAATTACTGGCAACAGCTAACATTGTTGGCGAGTGACAGCTGAACCGGTGTAGCTTCCCTCACCACCCCTTTTCGTCAGTCCATATTGACCAGCAAGGTGTGGTATGATGAAGCAATCTCCATAACTGACATGTTGTTGGGAGGCCTTCATCCAGCAGTCGATTGACAGAGATATACACTTTTTGTGTGGGGGTTTTATACTAATATCAATGGAGACGAAATAGCAAGTTTGTTCATTCTTAAACATTTTAATCTATTTACTAAAACAGGATGCTTATATTCTTGACCCAAGTGTTAAAAGAAAAAGAACTATCTTGACATTTAACCCTCCTGAAAATGTTTTGAGATTAGGTGAGGCTTGACTTTTTATTTATGACTTTTTACATGCAGTATATGTCTAATCGATGATGTTCATATTATAGCAACTTGAGTCGATCTTGATTTGAAGCTTTCGTCACTGCAGGAATCCATACCCTCAGGTTCTTTCTCACTCTTACACCTGTGCTGCTTTCGTTTACTAATTCAAGCTCCTTGACATGCTAATTTCTCCAGCCCCCACGCCATTAACCCACCCCACTCTCCCGTCAACTCCTGCAGCCACGACTCTATAACCCCCCCCCCTCCCGTGCCTATATAAAGCCACAACAGCAGATCATTCTTTCTCACCTGATGACGGACGCTTGTGTTGCGGCCGAAACGCCGTGTTCTTTTATTATTTTTCTATCTACGCAACTTGAGTCACTTTCACTGAATGAATAGTAAGCCCTATCTTTGTATACGTTTAAATGTGTGTCCTTGTAATGCTTTCAAAGTATTTAATGACATTAAAAAATATATTTTTGTATAGATAACTTTGACAGTAATTTGCTGACCTCGTTGGCAGGTTACTTATATCCATTACACTTATTTCAATATCATGGTGCTCAATACAAATAGAGCATTTTAAAGTGTATTATCCCCTGGCTTGGGTATAAGCACGCAATAGGTTCCACCACCAGGGGGCCTGCAGCAACTTCTATTCCCTTATGTAGCCACCACTTTTTCAGCTCTCATTTCCACAATTAGCCCTTTTGCGTCTCTGATGTAACACAACTTTTTACTTTTCTTTGTGTATTTCTGCACTTTTTTAAATGCTGTGGTATCCACCTATGCTTAAAATAAATAAGTAGGTAAGGGAATTTTTTTAAAGCTCTGAAAGAAAATAATATGCATACATTAATGAATATGTTTGAGGAAATACAAGATGCTTACAGAACTAGGCACAGCAAATAATTGTCCTTTATAAATATATGTAAGAACGAAAGGAGGTCTAAATGTGTAGGTTTATCTCTGCAGTGGCACGTAACATTTAGAGAATAATTCCTCGAAATGGCCAATCTTTTGAACAGAGATTAACCACAAGCCCTATGTGTAATGATTGAGAAACATTGGTTAGCCAAATGAAATATAAGGGCACCACGGTGGCGAGATGTTAAATACCTCACCTGGTATGCAGGATCATGGGTTCGATCCTGTCCTGACACCTGGTGGATATTTGGAGTTTTTTCAGGTCCTCCAATTTTTCCCTTCCACATTTATAAATATGCGTTTAGCGTATTTGGCTGCAATACATTTCCACATTATAAGCCGCTTCGTTAAACTGTGTTTTTGTGGCCAGGTTGCTTCTGAAAAAGTTACATAGCTCATTGGGCCTTACCTGGTAAAATAAAAAATATATATAATCTTAGTTTTTTCGGTAAAGTCACGTTGAAGAGAAACAACAAAATAACAAAATATATATAAAACAATAAAAAATTCTCACGACGTTTCGACCATAACTCAAACGGTCATCTTCAGGTGTGTTGGTTTGAAGATGACCGTTATGGTCGAAACGTCGTGAGAATTTTTTATTGTTTTATATATATTTTGTTGTTTCCCTTCAACGTGACTTTACCGAAAAAACTAAGAATATGAATTTACTGCAGTCACGAAAGCTTTAAATAAAAAAAATAGTTTCGTAGTCATTTTCACAAAGCAGAATGCTTCAAAACTGAAGAGGGAAGTAACCTTCGAAGCTTATAACAATAGAAAAAAACAGCATATATATTTTAGGGATCGTTGGGGTGTGGTATTTAGCCTACAGTATTGAATGATCCGTGGCCAGCAAATGCAGAAGGGACTGGACATGACAAAGCAGCATGCGGCATAGAGTGGAGAGCATTTGCCACGAGAATAGGAAGAAAGTTGTTGCCCAATTAAAGAAGAAGGGAGATATAAAACCATGTTGCACTCTGGATGGATAGGTTTATTGAGCATTTCATGGAAAGTGTGGTCTTCCAGACATTTGCTGAAAAATAAAAAAATAAGCAGATTAAAATGGTGCTGCTTAAGGGATCACCACTGATGGTTTATAGCATGGACAAGTTGACCATTTATGAATTTACTTGATGCAACTCTTAGCAGTTAGAATAGACATTGGAATAGTTTTAAGTAAGGACCAGTCAAGATCAAGAAACATGTTGAAGGAGGTAGGTTTTCATAAGATAACATGAATTCCTTTGTAAAGTATAGAGGGCAAATGTAGTGTGACGTTACAGGTGTTTGAGGCAGGGGAAATGTCTTACTACATGAATCATAGAACTGGGCAAGTTTTCGGTGTTTGAATATACATGCCAGGAATTTAATGGGTGGGAGATGTAAACAAGTTGGAAGTTTGCGTATAAAAAGTGAAAGGAAAGGATTGTAGATGTGATTAAGAAAAGGTGGCGGCTGTAGTGAGTGGGCACCCAAAGTTTGACAACGAAGGAGAACACCTGATGTTAGATTTGGTGGGTTTTTCGAGCAGAACCCCGAAAGGTTGTGTTCACTGGAACAGTTGTGGTATCCAGCAGAAGGGGCAGCAGGTGACGAGAGATGTTGTGGTACGGAAGGCATTGCTTGCGGTTACCTTTTTAACTTGATTATTTATAATGAATAGTTGAACGAGGCCTTGGAGGAAGCTCAGGGCAAGATGGAGCAACTGCAGGGAGAGCGGGAGCACTACAACGAGGCGATGAAAAAGGCATTCATGCGTGGCGTGTGTGCTCTCAACTTGGAGGCCATGAGCATGTTCCAGGACAACGAGCGCAGATTAGAGGCTGGTAAGTGCAGGAACAGCACCTGTACACACAGATTGATCTGGATGAATTACGGTGGAGTTTGATGCGTCTGTGATTAAGATATTGAGCGAAAGCATGGTTTGCCATCGTGATGGAGCCAATCCTTGTCTTTGTTCAAAATGTAATCAATTATGGCCATGTGTGCTTATCAGCTGCGTGGCAAGCTTTAGTGCATTTATGGAAAATACAGTGCTGATGTAGGCCTAATTGTGTGGGTCAGAGCCAAGCTACACCCATGCTGCAGCATCTTTATGAACTTGTAAGCAATGACCATTACCTCGCAAGTGAGTCGGCCTACCTATCCGGATAGCAGGCAAGAAAAGACCAGTTCATGGAAACTGTAAACTGACGTGACAAAGATGGTTTCGGTTTGGTGTTCTCAAGTGGGAATGTGATCGCCTCCGTCAATAACTACACTGTTTTCTTTTTTTACCAATAGAATACATTCTTTTCTATCATTTTAAGCGACTATTAAGCATTGCTGAAAACATAGTTCAAATGCAGAACATTGTTCTACTTCGCCCTTAATCACCCCATCTCGGGAAAATGGTTCAAGTCTCATTTGGTAAGAATAATCAGGGGCCACGGTCGGCAAGGGCAGGGTCTGCTTGGGTACGTCGAGCAGCTGGGGATCATACTGTTCATGATGCCATTATTATTATTCCAGCACAGGTTGTTGTTGGCCTGCTAAAAATTAGTCAAGAGAAATGTTAAAGGATCATCGGCTCTCGTGTAAATGTTTGGGCGGCGTGTTTAGGTGTGCATACAGCACCACACTTTGGACCACCTGATAGCGGGAGTGCTGGGGGTGGTGGACCCTCAGATGTTCAATTCTCTCAACAAACCGACTTCTCTGAGGGTGGAGGTGCAGGTTTGGCTGAGAACAGCTGTGGCCGGGAACAAATGGTAAGTTGTCCTCCTTTGCTTGAGGCAAAATCGTGAATGATCCACTGGCATGAGTTTGGGATGTAGTGAAAATTACATTTACTTGTAAATTAAATTCTGCAAAAAAGCTACTCTAAAACAAAAAGCAACCCCGATAATAAGGTATTTTTGTGTTACCAAACATCATTTATCCATAGCAATGCATCGATTTTAATGTATTCCTTTAAATAAAAGCAAGTAAATTACCTATGAAATCATGGACTCTTGGAATCAACACGGCCATCCCAGGTTTAACATGTCCTGGTGGGCATCGACTTCCATTCGCTTGATATGGCATGTGAAGAGAAAGTTCTGCTCCCACAATGCACCGTGCTTAGAAACATGCAGTGGTTACAGCATGTACAATGAGTGGTACATTATGATGTCGCTCCTGAAAGGCATGTGATCATCATTTTATTATTTGTCATCATTAACAAAGCTTAAAATGTACGACTCAGAGTCCAGGACTCAAAATCGAAGTGTGAGAATGTAAATAAAGATGTAATTATTACCTCGGTTGTGCTATTCTTTTACGGAAGTAGTTAACTTACGTTTTAAATATATGGAACTTTTAAGACAACCTTTTTGGCTTTGATTAAGTTTGTCGTATCAATTTTAAATAACTCTTTTGAAATTCTCTGCACTGCAGGGGAGCACATTTGAATATTTTGCATCATATTTTTCACGTCAGCTTTCCATTTTTTACAGTTACCATTGAAAAAAGATCCAAACTTAGTGACACTTAGAGGCATTGTTTACATTGGTGAGAGATTGGGATCCTGGTTGCCTTTGTGATTTTTGCACACTTACATCTGAATTTGTGGTACATCCATTTAAATTCAGTCATGTCTTCCAAAGAATAATTTGTTTATTATTAAACACTGCTTGCATATTTAATTCATGTCCATGTAAAGCACTGTTATTTCAACATGCACAATTTGACTAATCCTTCAGTTCATCATATTCCATCGTGAATGCATGTCATTGATTGCTGTATTTTGGCATATGCATGATTGATTTTATCATATGGAACCTGCTCACCATTTAAGCAGTACTTTAATTTATTGAGTCGGTGATGTTATTCTGACAGAACTGAACATTTCCATGGAAAAGTTTCAAACTCGGTTTTCAAGACCCTCCTGATATAAATCATATAAATCACAGTCGCATACCACTTTACGCGAGTGTAATGTATAAATGAAAGGTAATTCTTGGAAATACTGACAGGGTGGAAGAAAGAACACTCGCCATAAGTCATGAAAGCTTTCCTGGCTTCCCTTGTGAACAGAACACACAATGAAGGGCTTTCCTCTGATTAAATAAGGTCCTAATTGAGTGCATGGTTTCTTTCAGGTGTCTTTACCACTTGCTGCTGGTGGCTCGGTCACTTGCCCAATGCACGCTACGCTGCTCACAGAATTAAGTGCACCACAAAGTCATGGAACCGCAACCCTCGGAGCCCCACTTCTTGATCACGCGTCGGTGCGAGCGTCTTCTGAAAAAAATGTAAACACTGATTTGCATTTCCGTCCGAAAGTCGATTGTGTACAACGACATCTGCCTAACACTTGCATGTTTTCATTCTGTATGGACATTCAATAACGTAATCTAAATTCCTAACATGTACCTCAGTATACTTTTGCTCGTAACTTTTATATTTAACTAAGCCTGTTTTAACACTTTTTTTCTCATCTAATGTGTTCTGTTGGTGTAATATGAGCATTTATATTCTTGTTCTAATCAACTTAAATTATTGTTCTTTTTAACACCATTAGTATGTTCAGGTGCTTCTCAAATTGGTTGAGTATCTGTCTAGTGAATGTATATTTACAGTATACAAAGACAGACTCGACTCTACCATCCGATATTAATGTTACGCCCATAAACTGACACAATTCAGAGCTATTGAAGTAGTGTTTCCAGTTTTTAAACACTGCTTTTGCCACGCACCTGTCACTCCATGCAAACCCAGTGGCAGGCACTGACCTAGCAATGCATGTTGGTGCATGCTTGTTATATCCAGTGCTATGGAGACGAGATTTAGTAGATTGCTGAGATCAGTGAAACAGATTGGCGCTATACTGTATTTACTGTTTACAAATATGAATTTAACGTACATTTGAACTGCTTACAGTTACGTTTTCAATATAATTTAGTTTTTTTTTATGTCTTTCTAGCTTTACTACCCGGCTTTGCCCGGGACTTGGATTCTTGTCTAGGATTAATTTAATATTCCCTTATATTTCACTGAATAACTCTGAAAAAAATTGATGCTTGCAAGAAAGACAAAAGCCGAAACAAATAAATGTAACTAAATCGGAAGTTTTTCACTGAAGGAAATGCAACCTTAACCCACTTACACGTAAGGTAGATTTAGGCAAATTCGGGAAGGGAATGACGTGGCGAGCTGAAAATTGTCGCGTTCCCTTAGAAATTCCAGACAGCATGAGCTGTGCAAATTTCATGACGTCAGAGCTCAGCGTTGGAGAGTTTTTGCTGCCTCACACAGACAGATGCATTTTCTGCTTTATATTTATGAGCGAGCTGAAAATAGTCGCGTTGACTTAGAAAATCGAGACGGCGATGCCGCGCATTTGTGCGGGATACACGGCCTCCGCGGAGGGTTGGGATGCGTGACGTCAGCAAGGCACACTGCGTAACGGTGCCGCACGCGTGTGACGTCACAGGTGTGACGTCACCGCTCACTTGCCGTGCAAAATATTACATGCATTATTGCGCCCTCCAAAATACAAGTCTATTTTTATACCGGAAGCTACCCACATGCCAAATTTCAAGTTGCATGTCGGGAAGTATGCTAAACATTTCGAACCGACACACATTCACATTTCCCTTTTACATATAATGATTCAACAATATTGTAATTACCACACCTCGGCTCCATGCTGTGTTTGTGCGATAGCCCAGCCTAATTAGGCCCTTGCTCTCGTGATGCCTGATATCACAGGGGACTGCTGGAACTGTCAGGTTGCTATATGTGTGAATCTACCTACTAGAATTAAACAGCTCCATTAATTTTTCTTAAGTTTTACACCTGAAGTTTTATTAAAGTGTAAGTTATTGCAGATATCTCATGGGTAATCGCTCATTAAATATGTAAAGGTTTGTATATACGTTTTTGTATTAAATATTTTTGACAGGATGATTCCAGAAGTCTTATTTTGATTGGACTTAAATTAAAAAGATACTATGCATAAGATATCCCCCATTGACTTCTCATTAAATAGTGCTTCTTTTGTGTTACCCAAAAATTAATAATTGGCTGAGTTGATCCCAGACTGAGGTTTGAACTCACAAATGTATTATTGAGTCAGACCCTCAAACTACAGTGCCAGCCGGCTGGATCATTTATTTCACCTGTATTATGGATCATTGATTACTGAGCAATACTATTACTTGGTGTTAATGTGCAACGCCTTGTGGTGCCACGGTGGCGAGATGTTAACTACATCACCTGGTATTGACCCTCATGCCTGCATATTTGGAGTTTTGCATGTTCTCCCCCGTGGTCGTGTGAATTTTTAGAAACATGCGTTTCTAAAAATATCCACGTGATAAGCCACTTCGTTGAGCTATCATTTGTGGCCAGGTCGCTTCTGAAAAAGAGCTAAATTACAAAAATAGTTTAACAAGTGGCATATGTTCCATCGTCTCCCTCCAGCCACCAGCACGAGTCGTTGGTGGTGCTCAGCAGAAGGCAGGGCGTTCTGCGTCAGCAAGGCCTCCATCGTTTCCGGGCGAGCGGCTTGGGCGTGCAAGCAGGACGGCAGTGGAGCCTGCTGCAAGATTTGGCCGGGGCATGGTGGGGCTGGCACCGCCAATGAGCACAGTTGTGGTTGAACGGCACCACCCGGTCACAAAGGTGCGTTGGGGTCGTAGGCTAAATAGATTGGGGGATTCTTTAAGCTGTAGCAGGAGAATTTAATCGGCTCTTAAGAAATAAATTAGTCCATGTAGCCCAGTGCATTTACATTCTCAACATTGAGCTCGTGTACATGAAAGTATTATTTTGTTTGCACGGATGCTTAGCAATTTGTGCTGCTGAACTATCAGTATTGTAAGGGTCACGTCCAAAGTTTATAAGCAAACCAGATCTTAATTTAGAAGAATGTTCCAATACTTTGCAAATGCATGTTGCTTAGCAAGTTATTTTCTAATAACGGTAATATAAATTTTGATTTAAAGCTTTCGTGACTGCAGGGATTCATATTCTTGGTTCTTTTGGTAAAGTCACGTAGAAGGGAAACAATAAAGTAATAAAAATATAAAACAATAAAATTCTCACAACGTTTCAACTGCAACACAAGCAATCATCAACACAAGCAATCATCATCAGGTGTGAAAACCACAGCAAGAAAATTTTCTCGTGAGAATTTTATTGTTTTATATTTTTATTTTGTTGTTTCCCTTCTATGTGACTTTACCGAAAGAAACAATAATATAACGGTAATAATATATGTAGTAGATTATGAAAATGGTTATTACCAGCGCAAGACGTGAATAATTTATTATGTTTACATTTTGTTGGACACATACACCTGTACGAATTTTAAAACCTCACCTATTATAAATCTTAACATCCTTCAATAGTCAGCTTCTATAGTGAGGTTACTTGATTGCCTCTCACCTCAGATCCTGGGTGAGCAGTCACCTGGATCTGACATGTCGCAGGAATTGATGGGCTGAGCCGTTATTTAAAAGTAATTTTTAATGTCTGTTGTAGAAATACGTTGTGGCATTTCACACATCACAGAACAATTTTAATACTTGAATGACAGTGGTGTCGCATCCAAAAAATATTTCTGCAACATGTCGATTTTTTGTCAAAAGTGGTAGCAAATTAAAAAAAATGTAACACATTCCAATGTTGAGAAACAAAAGTTTAGTTGATTAACATTCAGTATGCAGTGGAAAAAGTTACACCATCTATCTAAGAGGCTTATAATGAAAAAAGTAGTTTAGTTATATCATCTGGTTGGGGCTGTTCCTTGACATAATGTGATCTTCACAGGCTACGATAGTTCTAAATTAACCTTATTCACCTAATGGCGTGGTACCATTATCAGCATGCATATGTAAAGACATCCTGAATAAAGGTCTCACCTAGCTACTGCGATTTCTCAAGAGTCTTGTGATATTAAACTAAATCTAGTTACAGTTCATGAGCTGACTTAATTGCGAGAAGAAACTAATTAGAAACACTATAAAATTAGGAACATGTCAGCAAAGTAAAATTCGTGGTCAGTATAGTTACAAAAAGTAATGTAATTACAACCAAAGACCAATCAAAAAGAAAAACATTCCACTGAATTTCATGAAGAGGAGTAAGACCAGTATGTAGAAAGCAAACAAAAGCAATAACATTGTTAATTGTACTAATAGTAACAAGATTACTTAATTGTTAAAGATAAAATAATCACATTTTAGTTAACTCGGTTGAGTAAACATTGTATTTTTTTGCTGACGAGGCATATGTTTTACTGTCTCCAAAAACGGGGCGTCTCATTGCCACCGGAGGTTTACGGTGCCCACCGTGACCGCAAGGGTACATTACAACCGCACGAGCGCATTAAAAAAAACAACAACAACAGATGACCGACAATGTGGCATTTCTTCTATTTTTCTGTGTGGCACAGCAAACGGTAGGGCACGCCACGGCCGTGCGACACCCACGTTCCGCTTCGGTGCCAGTCGGAGCCGGTGCTTCAGACGGTAAAGCGCCGGGGGGGTCCAGCGCAAAGGGTGGCGGCAGCGGCGGTAGCGGTAGCGGGGGGGCCCTTTTGTCTTCAGGCGGGCACACCATCAGGGTGGTGGATTAACAGTGGCGTGTGTGCAGCTTGCGCTCCCCATCAATTACAACACATCGTACATGGAGCAATAACTGTTCAGGTCTTAAATTTATAGTCTGCACTTGTCAAGTTTTCCGTTTCATGGTTGATTTTCTATGTTTTTTTTAAATCGTGGTTTTTCCTGTATTTAATTCCGAGATTTTACCATTTCTTGCTCACTTTTATAGTAGAACAACAAATGTAATGACCATGCCAGCTTGTAATGTGTAAGATTGTGACGTAAACTTTTACAAAGCGGTCATGTTAAAGTTAAATACTTAAGATTTTACGTAACATTTGACATTTTAAATGTGAAATCTGACATGTTTCAGTGATTGTGCCGTTTTTATTTAATTCATTTACAGTACTCAGTCCTTTTGATGGAATGAATTCTGTTTAAGAGCATAATGTAATTGTTTTTTATAAAACAAAATTATTATTTCAAATGCATTTGCATATTTTCCATATTCAAAGGTAAGATGAAATATTTTAATTTCTGTGATACTTTTCTTTCAAATGCACAAATTATCCACATTATTTTTTAAATAACCATGTAAATATAACTGTTAATCCAGGTTAACCTTTTCTAGTTTAAATAAATTTAACTTGTAACATTGATCATTATCTTTATCACAAAAAATTATGTGGAAGCATGAACTGTAAAACATTTTAAGGCACTTATACCAATATGGCAAAAAAGTGATGAGGCAACTGTATTTGGACTTGTTACTCCAGTTATGTGATACTTCAATATTTTATCACAAAATGTATACTTCCACAACTTTGTTTTTGTCATTTTCCCCCATGTGTATCCTGATTGTGCTATCACAACATATTGGTAGACAGTATAAATCTCCATCCCTCCCAGAGCAGTAAAATTTCTAGTATTGCCGAACAGTCCACGGAAGTGGATATCACAGCTCGACTTCGGAAATAATTTCAAGTGATCTCTGGTCCACAGCCAGTAGAGGGCAGCACTTCTCACTTGCACTGCATATGAAAGCAAGGTTTGTTACATGTCGCTCATACCTTATTTGAATTCAAGGCTGGATTTTTGCCAAATGAAGTACATGACCAATTTTAATGTGATAGCCTTTTGTGCAGTCATTAGTGACTGGGATAAGATAATCAACTCGCTACACTTGAACCAATTTAATCACAGGCAACTCTCTGGATTTGTCCAGAACCTCAGCATTCGTAGCTCAGCACTGACATCTTAGCCACTCCACCACCTCTGCACTTATCACATTTTAATGGAAGTAAAAAACTTTAATCGGTTAACCCACTTGGGCACAATAAATATTTTCACGTTTAACATGATCCCTGTATTAAACTGATCGACATTACCATAGAGTTAGTGTCCATTCCAATAAGTTTATACTTATTTGTCTTGTAACTTACTCAGGCTGCTCTCTTGAGTACTATGCTATTAATCCCAGAATGCTTGTCACCCTATATATTTTTCTGTGTGTCCCAAAGTGTGTTTATATTGACTGGAAATTACTTTTAATAAAGTTTTTTGAAAGCTCATGAAGGAAATTGTGGTAGGTATTGTGCAGTTGTAATCTATTTTCTTGGCTTTCATTTATAAAAGAGACAGGTACAGAATAGCCTAATTTTGCATATATTACAATCTGTTATGGAATTTCTAACAGTTCACTGATAATTCCACATAAATGTCTGAGTGGTCGCAAGAATCCGTTAACTGAAAACTGGGTCATGCCATTGTGAGCCACCAAGTATAAGGCTGAAATTAGATGATGTGGCTTCAATGAACAATCATTTTGCTTGCAAACACAAATACATTTCAGTCTGAAATTCAGCAGGGTCTGATTCCACACCAACAGGATCTCATTTCATACCAACAAGGCCTCGTGTTGCTAATTAAGGAATGGTTCGTAGTGCGGTTATGGTGGCCCATAGTGTGGAATCTCATCTGTCAGGCTTTGCGGGTGTGGATTGTACCGACAGTGCCCAAGAGGGCTTGGTAGCCCATTCCACCCCACTAATGTGCCAGTTTTTCCTCCTCCAGTTCAGAACTTATTTTACAGAATTTCTGAAAGAACCTTAGTACTATTTTGTTTGTCAAAAAGGTGTGGAGGCATAGGCACTTAAATAAAATGACGAATATGAAATAGATGGAAACAAGGATGATTCTATATAAATCAATATTTTATAATTATGTTGTGCTTTCCGTTGCTGTTGATGACGACATTGAATATGAATATGATGTAAATATGCAGGAATTAACCAGAATAACAATGCAAAAGATGCAGGAAGAAAATCAGAATAACTGACAAAGTTATATATTGTACTGTCACATGGTTATCCCACAGCCCAGCCGGTTTGTGAGTTACATCTCTGATCACTAACCAGGTGTAGTGTGGCTACTCCTCCACCAGGTTGCCTTTGTCTCCCCAGGAGACACTGCACCAGGCACTGATTTAATTCTCACTTGACCTAGGGGAGGCCCAGGAATAAATATAATTTCACCTGCTACTTGTGTTAGATGTGGCTGGGAATTAGTACCTGTTCTGAGCATTCCTTAAGTTAACGCTAAATGAAATGGATGCCTGGTGCCGTGAATATTGGCACAACTACACCCGAATCCCATCTCCATGACCATCACCAATGTCATCAGTAGGACCTTCAAAAACATTTTGAGCAGCAGCATCCGTAGCTTCAGAAACTGCATATTGATGACATTTGCAGTACAGACAAGTCCACAAATACCCCCTATACATTGAGGGCTAGCTTTGCTAGTGAGGATGACTTAAGTGTTCATTTAGGTAGTTTAAAGTGTTCCAGACGGACACGAGGAAGATTGAAAGAAGATGGTGACCTGGATTCAGTGTAGCCAGTCTATATTAAGCCAGACGTTAAGCAAACTTTTGCCAAAAGCGAGGTAGACTTAGCATCACAAAGGTGTACATTGCATGTACAAAAGCCCTCGGTCGTACGAAGGCCACCAGCTCAACATCACCGCATGCGTGGCCCTTTTGTAGTTTAGATCAACTCAAGAGTTGAGAAAATGTGGCCATTAAAATAGGCAGAGAGAGGGCTTAACTTTACACAATGGGAACCCATTGGTTTGCCTTAAGGCAATAAATACATTCTGTAAATTTAGAAAATCCATACCAACAGAAAAATATATAGGCTGGAAAAAAGATTTGACAACACAAAGAAGTGCATTGCATCTTCAATAGTTCTCCGCTTTATGGAAGGCGATAGATGGAGAAGTACAATAGGCCAAAGATGGAGCATTATACAATATTTGTCAAAAATATATATACTACAGAAATGAATATATTCCAAAATATAGATATCGTTATGTATATGCTGCATAAAATGCAAACGTGTCATGTATAAAAATAAGAATAGGTTTTACACTTTGGCAATAAAACAGTTTGTGTTAAGATGTTCAAACACCAAATAGAAACCTTTTGCAAGGAATCAAGTTTACATTCATCACACGGTACTTGTGGTGAACATGCTCTGATAATTATATATATTGTCTTTAAAACTAACTGGCCTAGACCAGAGACAGCCTTCTTTAGGGTCTAGTCTGTTTGCATGTTCACCACACGTACTTGTGGTTAACGCAGGCTTTATTCCTTGCAAAATAAAATAGTAAAACCTATTCTTTTTTCATACTTTGATCCTTACAAAAAGGTCCCATGTTGGTGTCATGTATCTCCGATTAGCACGGCTGGCTAAGTACGGTACGCGCAAGAAGTTCAACATGTAAACATGCACAAGTAACTAAAAGTGGGTTTCAACAATCTGGTTGAAACTTCTCATCCTGACCTGCGCTTCCACTGAATAAAAGTTATGCTCTATATATGAAAACAAGTCTAGGATAAACTAGAGCAATATAAAAGTTACGTGATCCCTCACTGCTATATCCGGTCAGATACACAGGCAATTGCATTGCATGGAATTAACAAAATGCCTACTCGCCAGTCCCATTGTACAATGCTAATAATTTAACTTTGGTAGATTCTACAAGTATGCGTTTCTTGTAAATATTGAAGTAAACAATGCAGTATTGGTATTTCTTTGGCATTTATGAAAATACATCATCTGTGGTGTGTTTATTATTTCTCAGTAGGCATGGCCTTAATTGTCTTTCCATTGAACGACGATGCAAATGTCACGACACTGTGCACTTCTTTCCTGCCACATGTTCTTCATGTGCCTTTCTCCTCATCAAGTCTGAAAAGAAAACAAATACACATTTACTCTGCATTCCAGTTATAGCTGTAACAAGCCAGGTATAAGAAGCACTGTGTAGCAACTATGAATTAACAGTTCTATGTCAATGGGCTACTTGATGCCACATTGGTTATGGGAGCTTGACTATATTTCACCATGCTGGTCAGCGCAGGTTGTTTAAAGCAATGGGTCAAGGACTAAATTTAGATTTAAAGCTTCGTTCACCTCGGCCGTGGAAGATAACTTATAATTCAGTAGGCTCACATGACATTGACTTCTCCAAGACAGAGGTTCTTTGCAAGCCATCTGGCTACCATGAGAGATTCGTTCATGAGGCTATCCACATACAAACACAGACAATTTCAACCGAGAAGATGGATTCTGGCTTAGCAATCATTGGAAGGATTGATAAACCATTTCGGGTCTTAATTGATTGTTCACGCTTAAGGTGGCTTTCAGACCGCATCCATTATTTTCGTCTCCCCCCTCCTCTTTTCCGAACATAGATGGACTCGTCCATCTGAACAAACTGTCAAATCGCTATCCATGGTGCTAACGTAAAAAAAACGCCACTTTTTTCAAATTTTCTTGTTGTGGTTTTCACATCTGATGATTGCTTGTGCTGCAGTCGAAACGTGAGAATTTTATTGTTTTATATTTTTATTATTTTGTTTCCCTTCTACGTGACTTTACCGAAAGAACCAAGAATATGGGTCCAGGACTAATGAAGATATACACATGCCACTGATGTTACCTACTCGAGATCTGTGAAAAATAATTTCATAGCTCATTGGATTCCTCCAGTGTGAATAAATATTCTGATTCTGACAGGAATCAAACTGGTCTCCGGGTTCAACGTGCAGTGCCACTACAGCCAAGAATTATAATATTAATCAGGAAAGCTTCGCTGAGACTAGGCATTTTCAGGAGTCCTGCATTGGGATGATTGGTTAATTCCATGTGTTTGATTTCATGGCGATAAATCTAGTGTTCCCAAAAAAAAGAACCATGCCTCTAGGAGGGTAACAAGCTAAGCTGCACAGATAGAATGAATAATTAATTTCTGTACTGCCATCTTCTGGCCATTCGCAGCCCAAACCTACAATAACAAAAGTTCCCAGGCAGGCTTCCTTCTGAATGCCAAGTAGGTTAAAACTTGCTGAGCTGTGGGATATGATGTGATCGGATGCAATCAAGGTTATTTAAGGGTAAATGTATCTAAATGCAAAATTTGGCGATGAGAATTCAACTTATTGGTGAGTCAAAACAGTAATAATTGGCGTATATAACACTTGCACACGTGACACTCGCCTTGTTTGGCTATCTCAGCCGGAAGAGGGTTTCGCGACATTATTTCAACTAGACGATCACGTCCGTGAAGAAAAAAAAATCGATTCGCTGTCAAATTATGAAATCAATTATATGTTTAACACTTAGGCTTTCGCGAACGATATTATCCATTGAGGTTTTTTGGGTTAGATGGCGTAAATATACGTGTCGGGCGGTGGTGGGTTTAACGACATTTATATTTACGCAGTCTAACTCAAAACACCTATTATGAATTAATTCTCTGCGCTGCTCATTTTTTTTTGTATTCTGGGTGGGTTCCTGCGTGGGTAGGTGTCATACCTGCCAGGTCCCTGCGCCCAATGCCAACCAGCCCCTCGTACAGCGCCTTGATGGGGTTCTCATTGAACTCCAGTACACCGTGCAGCCACACCAGCAGCATGCGGTGGGCATGCTCCTTGTAGGTCTTTTTTCCTACCAGCCCGCAGGCACGGTGCACAGTATCAGAGGTATCCAATGAACAATGGGTAGATGTACACCAGCAGGCTGTTGTTAACAAGGGATGCTGCCCTTGGTGTAAAGGTTAGCACAAATGACTTGCATTCCGATGCAGCTGGTGAAACAAAGGGCAAGTTTATTCAATGTCTGCCGCTGTCAACCCAGCAGCATAAATAGGGACACCAAGTTTTGATTTAAAGCTTTCGTGACTGCAGGGATTCATATTCTTGGTTCTTTCGGTAAAGTCACGTAGAAGGGAAACAATAAAATAATAAAAATATAAAACAATAAAATTCTCACGACGTTTCGACTGCAACACTTGATGATGGTTGCTTGTGTTGCAGTAGAAACGTCGTGAGAATTTTATTTTTTTATTGTTTCCCTTCTACGTGACTTACCGAAAGAACCAAGAATAGGAACACCAAGGTCGATCAGCAGCTCCCGTGCGGTAAGGTAAAGTGTGGGTACACCCACCCCTTCCAAGTTGTCTGGCGAATGTAGTTCAGTATTAGAATGCATAACAAGGGTACACATTCTTGCTTTGCCCTGTTTACATGCCAAAGGAATGTTCCCTGGGCAGAGAAATGCAAATTCACTCTCCAAAATCTGCAGGCCAACAGGAGAATGCAAGGGTTGTGGTGTCAATTCTGACTTAAATAGTGAGGTGTGACTTGCTATTCAGCAGTAGAGTAGTACTGGTAGACTATTATGAGAAGATATGGAGGAGATAGAATGTAACAGGAGTGAGAGTGGGAGCACATGGAAGGTTATGAGATTGACACAGTGCTGTATGTAGTAGGCCCTCACCTTCCCACTGCTGCTGGATGGCCTGAATCTGTGCCTCCGTAAATTTCCAATGTGTGGCAAGCTGCTGCCACTCCTCTGGCCGGAGTTTGTCCCTCGCCAGGTCCCACAGAACGGATCTCAGGTGCTGCGTCTCGGCTCGTCGGTCTGGACGGAACGTGACTGCTCCAAGCACACTCTCCTCGTTGCCCTCCTCTTGCTTGGCATTTCAGAAGGCAAAAAAGAAAATGTTGAACTGTGTGATTTTTTTTTTGGAGCTGAAGCATATTGCGAGTATACACTATTCCTTCAACTGTAAAGTAGAATTTTTTTCCCCCTTAACTACAAATAATACTATCTACAGGGACCAGGGGATTAATTGGGATTTTTTTTCAGCTTATCTGCAGACCTGCAAAAAAATAACTTTATATTTCACTATTTGGTCATGAATTAGTGTCCCGCCTTCAGAATCATTTCCAGCACTCGCCATTTCCTAGCTGCATTTGCATTGCCGCCTCTTGTCTCGATTCCTTCAACTCGCTCCTCGATGTATTCCCCAAATCCATAACCGTCAAACTCCAATTAATCCAGACCACCCCCAAAATACGTCCGTCCTGTGCATGCAAAGTTGCACTGTAAACAAAGCCACAATACTGCAGGCCTCAGATCTCTCCATTTGAGCCACAATCTGAGCTTGAGTTCATACTACATGGTCTTTCTAACCAATCTTCAAGATCGTCCATGGACTCCCCTACCCCTCCATCCCCCTTCACGTCTCACTCTACTTCCCTACATAACTGCCATGTGCTCTCCACTCAAGCAACCAATGCCTTCTGGCAAAACCCTCAACCTCCACGTAAATTAAGTTTGCACCTGACACAATGCCTCCACTACGATCTGGAAAACCATCCCCCCCCAAGACATTTGTGCTGCCAACTCCATGACCCTGTTCAAGTTCAGGCTCAAGACCTTCCTCTTCTCGTCTATGACTCGCTGTCCCCTATCTATAAAGTGATTTGAATCAAACCTCACTTAAAATATAAATTCCCTCCATGTTGTCCCCGTGATGCACTTAATCCACTTTTAGTTAAGCATATAGAGGTCATTGCTTTTAGATACGATTAAAAAATGTTTTTACAATCGAAGTTTATGGCTAAGTGCACTTCACCACAGACCCAAAACAAAGAGCAATCGTCACATTAAAAAGTGAGTGTTATCGACCCCTTCTAATTTAATTGTAAGTTCAAAGCTCACTCTCCACAAAGATAGGGCTCCTTCCATGGCTGAGCATGTTCCTAAAATGAAATTTTTTATTTCCTTCTGAATACAACTTCAAATAGCCAGTCAGAAGCCAACACTTCCTGGCGTATGTTCACACGTTTCGCAATACTATGGGATCTTCAGAGACCACCGGCTCCAAAAAAACATGGAACTCACGAGCTAAAGACGTGACAACTCTCCATTCATTGCCAGCAACATAGACATGGTCATTGTTAAACTTGACCATTCATCAATAAAAAATGTAAACGTTTATTTTTCTGGGTCACTCCGAATCACTACACGCCCGTCTGAGCCCACGTGGATCACGTGTGTTCTTTTGGGTTAGTCTGCTTGCTGAGCATGTGTTCTCTTCAGCATCTTCTGGATGCCCGCAGTCGTGCGTGGCGAAAGCTCGAAAGGTGTGTTAAACGCACGCCCCCTAATCGGAGCGATCACACTTCGATAACGAGTGGTTGCGAAAACCCACGCGCTAAATCGACACACGTGCGAGGTGTTGCAGGGCAGCCCCGGGATGCCGAGGTTCAGATAACATGGTCTGCAGGTGAATTTCCGTGAAATGTTTCGATTTAAAGCTTTCGTGACTGCAAGGATTCATCTTCTTTGGTTCTTTCGGTAAAGTCACGTAGAATGAGAATAAAATAATAAATTGATAAAGTAAAATAACACAATAAAATTCTCACGACGTTTCGGCCACAACACAAGCGGCCTTCATCGCTCCAGCGCTGTCCTCCAGACAGTCTCGTCCCCTTCACCTGATGAAGGCCGCTTGTGTTGTGGCCGAAACGTCGTGAGAATTTTATTATTTTATTTTATCAATTTATTATTTTATTCTCATTCTACGTGACTTTACCGAAAGAACCAAAGATTATGCGAAATGTATTTTGTATTATCACGTATCTACAACCCCATTTCCCCACATCACAACGGATCAGAGGAGGTTTACTCTAGTTCAGGGGTCGTCAACCCACGGCTCCCGAGCAGCCTGCGGCTTCTTTGAGGGCCGCTTTGTGGCGCTCTGTATCAAGGACACCCCCCCCCCCCGTCTCATATTCACATGCATTGTGGCTCTTACGGGTTTTTTTTACCGAATTGTAATAAAAGGCTATTATTGCTATGTTGGTCGATCGACCACTGTTGTAGTTCTACCTCTTTATGGACCTAATCTATTCTACGTACTTACAATCAGTTTGCTGTGTGTATACAGGTCACCAAAACATATAAAGATGTTTTAATCTCTTTGAAAAACACATTAGACTCGATGTACACGATGGTAGCATAATACTTGTCAACTCCGTTTTATTCCCCTGCAGAATGAATGCCTCTCCCCCCTGCTGTGGGTTGTAGTTGGGTTTTGTGCTTATCAGTGATGGGGGGCCCATGATAGGTTCAAATATCACTCATGTTAGCCGTGGCCGAGAATAGCGGTCAGATCTCCGGGTTCATGCGGCTTTGAGCAAACCCACTGCACCAAAGCTCTCCCCAATGCAAATATAAATTCAATGAAGTGCAAAAGTGTTATCTCCAAGCAGGTAAGTAAAGATTGCATGTTTTACCTTTCTGCGAGTGAAGTAGCGATCGGCTTTGATGATCATGTCCACCAGGTTGACCTGATTAGCCCTGGCTGCCACCTCCAGGCAGCTCTTCTTTTGCTGAAAGAAACAATGTGGACAAAAATTGCATTTAAATATGAAACAATAACACGGTAAAATTATTTGCAGAACTGGTCATAATCAAGGTTTTTGGGTTAGAGCGCAGAAATATAAATGTGTCGTGAACGCACCACCACCCGACACAGCCAATTATTAATTAAGGTTTGTCACGTGAACAAAACGTGCCAATTTACTATTAACTATCAACCCTGTCCTGTTTCGAGACGTCTGCAATTTGCAGGGTGGGTCCTGTTCACCGCCGAATCTCGGAATGCGCGCGAGCGGTTAGCGTTAATTTTATTTAGAGAGGCACAGCGCTGTTGTTTTTAAAGACATTGTACTCACAGCAGAGAACTGTAGCGGCACAAGCACCGCTATCCCATGCTTACAGCAAAAAAAAACCTGGTCGTAACTATTTCTGAGAACCCACCATTATCGGTGGCAGATTTTTATTCAATAAGCAGATAAGTTCCACAGAGCTAACTGATTTCAAGTTGATCATGAAAAGCAACAGGAGCAATGTGCCAAAAGAAGAGAACACGGCATGTGATGTTACAATGTGTTGTTTTTTCTGGAGGTACAAGTGCTGTTTCTTCCCCCCCCCCAGTGAAAAAGACAGGCACCTGCTACACTGTTGACAATGGTGTATTGCACAGAGTTGTGTACAAGCGGAGAGAAGTTGCGATTTGAAAATGGTTAGTGTGCGGTAGTTCAAAATATGGAAGGTATGGACGATGTGCTTTTTCGTACAGTATCAGGATTTGATGGGTGGTAGGTGAACACTAATGATGCTGTGTCTTGTCCCCTTCAATCAACCAGTTGCATTGCTGTCTGAGGGTTCAGAGAGGCCACGTAGGTAGACACATTTAACATTTCGGGGAGTAAAAAAAACGCAGATATTGGACACATCAGCCAGCAGGAGATTGACTCGGCAAGTTTTTTTTTACCCACAAGCTGCCTGGGACATAGCAAAGGGTACGTCCTCACCATTCCAAATTCAAATCACTTGAGTTAAAGCTGGTGGACCTTTTAATTAATTAAGAGCATCGCTTTGCCAATAGGGGCGTTCCCATGCATGGAATAATGCATTCCCCAGCCCTGTGGGTATAACAACCCTGCCAGCTAAAAAGATAGTCAACAGGCCCAAGATTAAATTTAGGCTTTAAATAACAAAGTGTAGCTCATTTTTCAGAGGTAGCAGACGAGTTACATTATTGTGCGAGAGAGGAGACATGAAAAAAACATGGGCGATAAGGCAGGAGCACAGAGAGAACACTCTAAATAGATAACTAATTTCTTTAGAACTGCTTATTGTGCTTAGTTTGTTGTCCTTCCCCCGCACCTCCGTTGAGCAGTTGGCTTAGTGCGGTGTGAAAGAAGTTCTACATACATACAACACAGTGAAAGAAGTGAGGAAGAGACATTAGCAGAAGAAACACATAGCGAGAGAAATAGGTCGATCAGAAAGACAAAGACACACACACTGGCCCACTATATGCGCTGATTCCTCCTTCCTTAGGCTCTTAGTACGAGGACACGGATATGTTATTACACCAAGGCAATTGAGCCCATGGCCCCTGATTGGCTGGATTCGCTTTAGTGGATCCCTGGGGGATTCTCTGAATGATGTGAAAAGGATGCCAGCAGACTTGGCTTGCATTCAAGCCACATTCGGCTGAGATGCAAGCAACAGATTCCTGAAAGCATTTCATGTGGTTGGCACAAAATTAGCACCTCTCAACAATGCTATGACAATTCGATTATTTAGATGACCATATGGTAGTTTAGGGTCAAGAGACTGCATAACAACAAAGTAAAAATGCAGAACTATTATTCAAATCACTAAGGAAACATTATACTACATTCCGAGCTTTATACCCAATGCCAGTAACCATTTTTGTTTTGTAAGGCCTGACCATCGATCCATGCATGCCGTTTATTTTCAGAAAAGTGCACATCATGAAATGAACACCTCTTTAATTCTGGGTGTGCTTTGGCAATTTCAAACTTATTGGTAAATGCGACGGATCACGTTACCAAGAAGCACCATAGACAGGTTATTCTGCTGATAGTTTTTCCCCCCTTACATTTGTCAGCGTTGTTAACTGTTATAGACGTAACCAATGGTATACGGAAAAAAGTTGAATAAAATGAGAGAATCTGAAATTAAAATACAATTCAAGCCTAAACTATTTGTATTTTACCAGGTAAGGCCCACTGAGTTATATAGCTCTTTTTCATAACCAACCTGGCCACAAAGGATAGCCCAATGAAGTGGCTTATCACGTGTACATTTATTGCAGCCACATTCTCTAAACGCATGTTGTTGATTCTAAATGTGGAAGGAAAAACTGAAGGACCCGGAGATAGATCAACATGACCACGGGGAGAATATGAAAACTCTAAATTCAGCAGGCGTCAGCGTCAGGATCAAACCCGTGACCTCCAGTGTACCAGGCGAGGTAGTTACCATCTTGCCACCTTGGCACTCCCAAGTCAAAACTGGAATGGTCTCAAGGTTAGAATAATAATTTTTTGTCGTGCCACAAAATGACATTACAATTTGCATCTAACTGCAGCTGAAGATGCTGCACAAAAAGTGGGCTATGTACTTTGTGGTAACCACCAGAGTGGGAGAGAGAGATTTTTTTTTTATAGTAGACTCAAACGAGACAGTCGTAAACCATGTAGAAGATGAACCTCTTGGGCCTGGACTTAAACAGAGGCAGGCAGTCAGCAGCACAGATGTTTGGGGTGAGGAAATTTCAGACTACAGGTGAGCCCTCCCAATTGACAATTTTGATGACAGCTAGGTTTTTTTATCAATGAAGTACCGTAGTCAGATGTGTCTCTTGAGTGTCACCTTACCTTGTCTAGCAAAGTCAAGTCAGTCCCTGCAGCCAACAGTAAGTCTGCCGATTCCTGGAAGCCAGTTTCTGCTGCAATGTGCAGGGCTGTCTGGTTCCTCTATTATCCAAAACAATTGAAATAACAAGAACAAGAATATTAATCGCATGCACTGACTCAATATCGTACAATAAAATGCAGTTTTAATGTATAACGCATCTAAATACAACTGCCTCTCAAAATTGATTTAATGTCCTGTTCGAATCCAGTTTTCTATCAACTATCCACCAACAGAATTATCTTATGTATCCGAGCCCAAAAATATATGGGGTCTTAGGAAATTTGGGCATGACAAAAAATGGGATTTTGCAGTGTATCCATCTTACTGTGCTATCCCAATATACAGAAGTTGGTCCTCTCGCTGAAATATGGAGACTATATATTTATCTTGGATTATTACAGCAATAAGTACTGTGCACTTAGAGAATAATTATTACAGCAATAAGTTCTAATTCTAATCCAAGCATATTAATTACAAGGGGCACGGTTACACCTTTAATAGATACAATATCACGTGTTATTAAACCGACTACCTGTACAGCAGGCACATCACGATAAAGGTATGTGCAGGACTTTACCTTGTATCTGAATATACAAAGTTGTATAGAGCTGTGAAAAAAATCTATTTTATAAAGGTGTTACCTTGCTTGGCTTATTGAAATTTGCACTAAATGGCAAATGTAAAACATATCGTGGAAATAATTTCCACGTTAAATTACTCACGGTAACCTAAAGATGTGTAAAACCAGAAAAAAACACAGCAACATTAATACTAATACAAAATTTAAATGTGATCGTTCTACAAAAGATATCCAGTCGAAGGGTCCCTGAATGTGTTCTTGCACTCCATCACCCCATGCCTTGGATTTTCATCTTTACCAATCCATAGCTTCGTGCAATGTATCACATACAAATTTCATCACATTTCTAAAGAACATCTTGATAAGGAAAAGATGGAATTGAGAAGTGTAGACATGGAACAATACAACTACTTATTGCCATACGAATACATTAAGAAAGTCAGATATAAGTGCGTTAAACATTTAGTGTGATGGTATGAGATAGCAACGAGGTCATCTGTATTTACTGGACGAACAACAAAATATCCCTGAGTTTGAGATGAAAGCATGAGGGAAAGCGATGAGCGCGAGCCAACAGGAGAGAGAATGCGGTTTTGGGAAGAGTGGGGGAAAAGTGAGGTCAGGGATGTGAGCAGGGACAAGGTCATTAAATATCACAATCAACTTACACAGTCAACCAAATTAATGTTGGCCTCTGCTTCCACCAAGAAGGTCACAATGATTGGGTAATTGTTTTGAACTGCCAGGTGCAGCGGGGAGGCTTGTTTCTGTTCGAAGATAAAAGCATTAATCAGTGGTGACATCACTGCAGGAACTGCATTTGATTAAACACTTTATGCCTAGCTCACGTAAAAAAAAAGTCTGACAACACAAAAGACATCAGTTATTCCCTTCCGTGTGAATTATAAACTTTAAAATAGCATTACGAAATAAACGACTGTATAGCTAATGTTTCTCTCCTCTGAAGCATAGTATTGTTAAATGCTGACACGTATATTACATCAAGAACAAATGTATTTTATACATTCAACTTCACAAGTGCCTCATCATGTGGAACTTCCAACATTAATAACCGTTAATAACCGAGACGTAAGATCGTTTACACGACTGTCACTGTGGGGAACACTTTTAACTTCTTTGCAAAACCCCCCCTATTTTTCATGTTTTACTTAATTACAGTACATTGACAAAACTTTTACTCAAATATGTAAGTTACCGACTCATAATGACACTTGAAATATTGTTATTGGTGTAACAAAGACAAAGCTCCCCCCTAAAAGCATTAACAGACTTTTGGGGGCAAGTGCTGTTAGCGAGCACCTATGAAGGCCGGCACAGTACACAAGGGGGTGGGTGGCCAGCACCACGCTCGACCGCCTTTGTCTTACCAGTAATGTTTACTACACACCGCTGCAGGTACTCATTTGAGGTGCAGTTGACCTATCAGTGTAAGAGGAATTCAGTGACGACCATTGTTGACTCCTCATACATTAATTTAAAGTATGCACGGAATTAATAGGTGACAAATAATAAATACGTGAAATTTATAGGGATGAGTTTCGGATTTAAAATGTTGGATTTTTGCAATTCAGAACAACGCCTATTCAACTCAGCCCATCATCCATGTGGGAGGTCTTTGGAATGAGTACCATATAAGTGGCTGTCCTATAGGAAGACTGGCCCCACCATCAGCCATATGGAATGGTCACTGATGGCTCAGGGCTATAAACAGGAGAACAGCAAAGCCCTAACGCTCATTTGAGCCAAGATATATGTATGGCATTAACGTTTTATAACAGTGATACAGTACAATGCTTATTCGTGTTCATATTTATCCATGCTTTGAATCGATTATGCAGAATAATTACAGCCATGTTGAGTAATGATATTTTAAAAGCGCTGTTTAACATTGCACATTTTTTTTTGCAATGCATTGGTAGTGGATAATACGTGTACATTTTACAAAACAACCAGGTGCAGGGAGAAAACGTATACCTTTTTAACCCAATAATGGAGCAATATAAAAAAATATATAACTGTATTAAGGCCATTCAGATCAGCCAACATGACGCTCAACAGGCATCTGGGTCTGCAACTAATAACATTACACAATGCTTAGATCGCCAGCAGATCAGTGCAGTTGCTGAACCATGTGCGTGTTTTGGCTTCAAATCTTATTTTATGAAGCGAAATATTCCTTTGTAATGTATGGTTTTCTCTGGAGTGGAAAGCTGATGAATTTGCAACTTTTATGGGTGACTTACAGCATGACAAATGTTGTAAAGGATAATGTAAAATCAGTTTCAAAGAGAGTGCAGCCTTTTCAAAATATGCCAAACAAACTATATTTTTTTCAGTCAGACACGATTTCCTCAGATGACGATCCATCGTTATTGCTCTTATTGTTGTTGGATGCCTTGCTCTCAACCAGGGCTAGCAGCTGTGATCTGTCTTTGATATTTGCTGTTCATTAAGTTGCTCTTTATCCACCACCGTCATTGGTGTTTTTCCCCCCCTTCTTTTGAGTATAATACCCAGTGGTCCATCTTCTCTTACCCGAACTCAGAAGCCAAACTTTGTCTTGCCGTGAGACGTAAGGCCCATGAGTTATGTACTGGAATTGCTCAGTTGTTCTGTCGAGGTGTATTTTACGAAAAAAATAAACGGATCTGGTCCACAATTGTATGCATCCATACAATTATCAATTGGGATACGATTTCAAGAATCCCTTACATTGCAGAATGCATTACATCATTCCATTGGATTTTAGGTGTTGTATAAAACCGCAGTATCTGGAGAAAGCCCAAACCTACGGGGGGTGGGTAACTCATCATCAACTCATCATCACCCATGTTGGATGAAGACCTCGGGCCGTTATCATCATCCCTCGCAGTCTCACAATGCCAGAATCCGTCAAGAGCCCAAGCACAAGCTGATATCATCGCTCCGTCTCCATGGCGAATGACTTCCTAAACTGAACTATATTTTTTTATGTTATACCAGGTAAGGCCCCACTGAAGTATATACAGCGAGGGAAAAAAGTATTTGGTCCCCTGCTGATTTTGTACGTTTGCCCACTGACAAAGAAATGATCAGTCTATAATTTTAATGGTAGGTTTATTTGAACAGTGAGAGACAGAATAACAACAAAAAAATCCAGAAGAACGCATATCAAAAATGTTATAAATTGATTTGCATTTTAATGAGGGAAATAAGTATTTGACCCCTCTGCAAAACATGACTTAGTACTTGGTGGCAAAACCCTTGTTGGCAATCACAGAGGTCAGACGTTTCTTGTAGTTGGCCACCAGGTTTGCACACATCTCAGGAGGGATTTTGTCCCACTCCTCTTTGCAGATCTCCAAGTCATTAAGGTTTCGAGGCTGACGTTTGGCAACTCGAACCTTCAGCTCCCTCCACAGATTTTCTATGGGATTGAGGTCTGGAGACTGGCTAGGCCACTCCAGGACCTTAATGTGCTTCTTCTTGAGCCACTCCTTTGTTGCCTTGGCCGTGTGTTTTTGGTCATTGTCATGCTGGAATACCAATCCATGACCCATTTTCAATGCCCTGGCTGAGGGAAGGAGGTTCTCACCCAAGATTTGACGGTACATGGCCCCATCCATCGTCCCTTTGATGCGGTGAAGTTGTCCTGTCCCCTTAGCAGAAAAACACCCCCAAAGCATAATGTTTCCACCTCCATGTTTGACGGTGGGGATGGTGTTCTTGGGGTCATAGGCAGCATTCCTCCTCCAAACACGGCGAATTGAGTTGATGCCAAAGAGCTCCATTTTGGTCTCATCTGACCACAACACTTTCACCCAATTGTCCTCTGAATCATTCAGATATTCATTGGCAAACTTCAGACGGGCATGTATATGTGCTTTCTTGAGCAGGGGGACCTTGCGGGCGCTGCAGGATTTCAGTCCTTCATGGCGTAGTGTGTTACCAATTGTTTTCTTGGTGACTATGGTCCCAGCTGCCTTGAGATCATTGACAAGATCCTCCCGTGTAGTTCTGGGCTGATTCCTCACCGTTCTCATGATCATTGCAACTCCACGAGGTGAGATCTTGCATGGAACCCCATGCCGAGAGAGATTGACAGTTCTTTTGTGTTTCTTCCATTTGCGAATAATCGCACCAACTGTTGTCACCTTCCCACCAAGCTGCTTGGCAATGGTCTTATAGCCCATTCCAGCCTTGTGTAGGTCTACAATCTTGTCCCTGACATCCTTGGAGAGCTCTTTGATCTTGGCCATGGTGGAGACTTTGGAATCTGATTGATTGATTGCTTCTGTGGACAGGTGTCTTTTATACAGGTAACAAGCTGAGATTAGGAGCACTCCCTTTAAGAGTGTGCTCCTAATCTCAGCTCGTTACCTGTATAAAAGACACATTAAAAGACACATTAGGAGCACTCCCTTTAAGAGTGTGCTCCTAATCTCAGCTCGTTACCTGTATAAAAGACACCTGGGAGCCAGAAATCTTTCTGATTAAGAGGGGGTCAAATACGTATTTCCCTTATTAAAATGCAAATCAATTCATAACATTTTTGACATGCGTTTTTCTGGATTTTGTTGTTGTTATTCTGTCTCTCACTGTTCAAATAAACCTACCATTAACATTATAGACATCATTTCTTTGTCAGTGGGCAAACGTACAAAATCAGCAGGGGATCAAATACTTTTTTCCCTCACTGTATATGATATCTGTAACATTGGGTACTTTCTCCGATTCGGGCGCTCCTCTTTCTGTCCGTAAATGTAATTCCGAACGTGCTCCTTTCCTCGCTTGTTTCTGCATTTTTCATATTTTTGTTCCATTTTCATTGGCAGTGTCCACGTTTCTGTTCTATTCTTGTCATCGCAGGTAATATGCACCGGGTTAAACATGTATCCCTGCTGTAAAATTGGGACATTGCCTTTCATTTTCCAGTTGTGTTCTACATGACCTTTGTCCTGCTCATTATTTACTGATGCAATGACTAACCACCCCCGCTCTGAAGCTGCGTTCATTATGGTCCCGCAAAAATAAAACGCACCCTCCATAAGGGATCACAACTAATTGCTCCGCTCCGTGACATCGCCAAGAGGAATGAGGAAGCTCTCGGGTACTTACGAACTCATTTGAATCTTACCTTATTCTCTGGATTATAAGATGCACCTTTTTCCCACCCTGTATTTAAAAGCGAAGACTGGGGTATGCGTCTTATAATATGGTAAGTGTGTCTGTGTGTGACCAGGTTTTTATACATTTATTGATGACCGGGTAAACACTTGGGGTGTGGTTTTACTTTCTGGAAAGCCTTGTAATTTGGAGAAAATAGTAAAAACCTGCACATATATTTTTTACTTTAATAGTATAGAAACTCTGACGTTTCCTTGAAAGCTACACAAATCAAGTAAGCAAGAATAAATACACTGGCAGGATAAACACGTGAATGTACGTTAAAGGCACTGCGACTCCAAAAAGAATGAGATTCGTTTCATTGTTTGTTTCTCATGTGAAACATAAAAAACAATGCCTTGCATAATGAGGAGTTGCCTTTGCAGTGACTGATGCCAATAATAGCAAACAGTAAATGATTTATAACCCAGGGCCTCATTGCCTCACCTGTTCTGCATATATCTGTAAGGCAACTCACGAAAAGCCTGTAATTGCCCTCCTATCTTTGACATCATGGAATAAGCAGTCACTATCCTAGATGGAGTGGCATGCTCTGCGCCAATTGTGACAGAGTATTGAAGGAACATCCTTCAACCTCACCTTGAGCCACATCTTCACACATCGTAACCGATTTCGCTATATTCTTGTGGGAAGTTATTTTCAGACGTCAGATTTCGGCTGCGCAATCACAACAGCCTACCAATCTTGCATATTACATCGCAGGATATTTATAATCTTATCTTTACAACAGCGAGCGGGTCTGATAATAGTATTTAAACGAGCTCCATAAAGAACCGGCAGAGCCGCTTAACCTACAATTAAAAACCCTGAGAATAAACACGTGTCACTTGCGTGCTTCTTCCCCGCTTCACGTATCCACACGGAATTCTACGAAATCAAATGCTATTTTAAGTCTCAGTCAACGTTAGAGCCTTCATTATAGTGACTGCAAAGCGCTGACTGTTTACCTCTCTCTCGTCCACATTTGCATGACCAGTGTGCTCGCAAGGGAGCCAAGGGGGCAACACCCTCAAGCGTCTGTGCAGCTGCGAGCTCCCGCCCGCTAATGAATGGCATTCCTGCCATGGGCCAATGGTACCTGCTAATGTAATGAAACACCTGCGCTATATATATCAAACGTTGATATGTTTAATTACAATTTTAAGTTTGATCAACTACAGGTTTAAAAAAAATATTGCATTTACTGTACACGCATCTAGTATTTGGTGAGCTTCGTCACGTTTAGCAAGGGCCTTCTCTGAAGTTATTGCTGAACACGTGACGCACATGGAGACTACCTTTCGGGCAACTCGCTCAGCTTTGATCAGAACAATAATGGTTTGAATCTCAGCACCGGGAAAGATGCGCCCGCATGTATCAGGTGTATTTATGTTGAATTGCTTTCACGTCGTACGTAGCCAACCGTGCTAATCGGAGGTGCGGGGGAAGGACAACAAACGAAATACAAAAAGGAGTTATAAAGAAGTGAGTTTTTGATCTAGATTTAAGAGTCCATCGCTCCGGGTGGCTTCTTAATATTGGAAAGAATATTGTTACAGACGGCCGCAGGAGCGCATCTGAAAGCGCGCGATGTGGTGACCGTCTTCTTTCAATGGCTTGCCAAAAGCCGTTGCGAGGCTGACCAGCGTTCGCGTGATGCTTTATGCTTTTCGACTAGACTCAGCAAGGTATTATGGTTCATTTGTGGCAAGCACTTTGTGTGTAATGAGTGCGACCTTTCATGTATTCGTTCATTGCAGCTCGGCAAGCACTGGACGGACATGGTCAAATCTTGCAGTACCCGTCACAAAACACGCGCCAAAAGGTGCAGACCTCTTATGAAAACCGACACTCATTAAAGTCACCATTTTCTTTACAACAGACACACGCTGCAGTGACCACAGCAAATCACTCCTCTTGTTTGGGGAGCCTGGGTTTACCGTGCTGATCGCATTGATGTCGATGGTCTCGTCGATGAGGAGTTTGGCGATCTGCTCGTGGCCGTGCTTGGCAGCCATATGAAGGGCGTTCATGGACTCCTATGCGTACACAGCCAAGAAAAGCAATCAAGGTTAATCTAAAACGCAACCAGTATTCAACTACAATCAACAGCTGGGGACGCACTGGCACAGACTAAACATCCTCCCATCTGGAATAAAATCACAATAATGTAAAAAAGTACAATTAGCTGAAAAAAATCATAACCTGTTTTTTTTTAATATCAAATGACAGTTATAGGTGCATGCATTTATAATAAAACACACTAAATCAAGTAACATATTTGCAATTTGTAATATTACATTTGATCGTACAGTAGTTACATTAATAATTCTGGATCCACTTTGGCAATGTCTGTAGAGTGATCCGTCTACATTTATAAGTGGGCTACGCTAAATTTAAATACCTGTGTTGTGTTTTATAGAAATGCTTCCAACAACACCTCCAGCACAATTTGTTACAATTAGATTCCAATTAGTCGACCATCTGGCTCTCTGGACACAGAACACTGAGATGCGTTTCAAGCTGTAGCTTGAGAACATTTTACCACACCAAAACACATTGCATGAGGATATTTCCCAAAAGTGGAATCGTCTTCGCCCCAACCTCTAGACCAGTGGTTCTTCACCTTCACTACAGCCTTGCACCCCTTTTGTTCTTAATTGTAAAACATTTATGTTAATAAACACATCGAGGGTTTGATTAAACAAAGTTGTACTTATGTGCCCGTGCTTAATTTCTGTTTTTGATGATTTACCTTCTAACATAAATCTGGCCATGTCTCGCACCCCCAGAAAGGACATCTTGCACCCCCAGAAAGGGCATCTTGCACCCACAGGGGGTGCGTGCACCCCCAAGGGGTGCGTGTACCCCAGGTTAAGAGCCACTGCTCTAGAATGCCCTATGTTCAGTTGCTGGATGGGAATGTCCTTTAGTGTCTGGTGTAAGCACAACGAGCTGGGTTTATCTGAAAGAAGTCAAAGACCAATTCTTATTTTGGAAACGTTTTGGGTTATTATTTGTACCCTGAGATTCAGGCCCAATGTAACTCCTGACTCACAAGATACGATATTCTTAAAATGAGTTATTTTTGTATTTTATAAATTTGTCACTCATCCCATAAATATTGTAATAGAACTAAACATGTATACATTATATATATTTGTAATATCTCATATCCTCAATAGCTTTCATAGCATCAAAGCTTTTATATATATCATTTAAAGCACAACACTTCTCAAAGATACATTCCCAATGCCACCTTGAATAGCCATGGGAATCAGTCCGGAACAAATAAAAATAATGAAATCCATTAGACACCTGTCGTTTGACAATTGAATAACAAATGTCCCATGAGTTGTGTTTGCATGGGCTTACACGTGCCATCTGTACATCTCAGTGTTATGGGTTCAAAGTTGTTCACATTAATTTGAATGAACATGAGATGATTTGGCCACGATAAATTCTCACGTAAGATAAGTCTCTGTGATGAGCTAGCATGTGTGGCCTGGTTTCCTCTTAAAATAGCTCATAGCTCAGTGGGCTTTACTTGGTTATAAAACAAATCGTTTAATTAGTTGAATTTATTAACCTGAAAACAACTATTGCTGTCAAATTGAGTCAAAAAATCTCAATTGTTAGGTGGACCATGCACTGCGTTACAACCAACACGGGATGCTGTTCACATCTGTTGGGAGCTATCTCCCTTCATGTCAGTTTGATTATCCCCCTAAGGTACCAGTGGTTGCCACATTGCACAAATGTCAGTCTGCAATATATTCTGGCGGGCTTAAAGGATATTGTAGACTCTCCCACGAGGGCATGCATCAGTAAAATAAAATACGATATTTTTTTCCGATTTAAAATAATAACACATTATTAGGTATTGCTTTACTTTTAAAAGAAGGGTCTGGCAGTGTATCTGACACTTTAAATTCAACACTGTTCTCTCTGAACGCATGCGACTCTCACTCAATGCAATGCAACATGGGTACATTACATTGGCTTCTACATTCTGTTACAAATACTGTACCTGAATTGAAATGTGCACATCTACAATTGAAAGGTAATACAAACGGAAGAAGAACATTCACAAAAACGGAAACCAAAATATATATTTATTCATATAAATTTTGATTTAAATCTTTCGTCACTGTAGGGATTCATATTCTTGGTTCTTTTGGTAAAGTCGCATCGAAGGGAAACAATAAAATAATAAAAATATAAAACAATAAAATTCTCACGACGCTTCGACTGCAACACAAGCAATCATCATCAGGTGTGATGATGATTGCTTGTGTTGCAGTCATCACACCTGATGAAGACTGCTTGTGTTGCAGTCGAAACGTCGTGAGAATTGTATTTTTTATATTTTTATTATTTTACTGTTTCTCTTCTACGCGACTTTACCGAAAGAACCAGGAATATTTATTCATATACTTTAATAACGGTACGCGAGTGCTTTCCCCGTGTATTTAAACGTTGCATCGCAACGTAAAATGGCTTTGCGGTATCTCCCAGCAACCCACAATGCACCACGGGTGCTTCAGAGTGTGACTGTGGTCATGCAAACCAAACTGTGGAACCATTTCAGTCGGAGGAATAAGAAAATAACCCACACCGACTCTCTCTCCGGTAGCCTCCTCATCGTGGCGAGCAGACCTCGGACATTGGCATTTAGCTCCTGAATATATTGCCATACACAAGATAAGAAATCACGGGGATCTCCGGGGATCTCCTTCACTCAGGGCTCCCTCCGAACACCGGTCTATCATCAGCGTTTTCCCCTTCCCACCCACAGGTCACCTGGAGCCCCACATACATCTTCACTGAAACCAATGCTGTGTTCCCATGGCCATCATGAATCAGACCTGTACTGTGCTGGTTTGTTCGTGGTACAGACCAGCATGGCTCATATCTTGTTTAAACCAATGAGACCATCCCTCCCTCCTCATCCATTCTCCCCACTCCATCCCTTCCCTCAATGGCCGCAGGGAAGTGATTGTAATTCTTTCCATACAAAAAAGTGTAACGTAATTGAAAACTCAAAACGTTTATCAATAACACTGCCTTAAAAGAAAAACTATATAAGGGTGACTTTTTGGGCAATGGCCCTTCTTCACAGCACATGTGTAATCGAGTTTGGTTACATGATCCAAAACTAACATTGATAAATTTTGTCATTCTCAGCCATGGGTGTATTTTTCTCTCAAACTAAAGCACAGCCCTGAAATTGACCCAAATGAGAAATTCCCACTGATGCGGACGAATCTCTCTTTCGTCCGCATTTGACCCTGTGATGTCATGACTGCGTCCGAGGGCGGCCCAGCTTGAAGTGCATAGCTCCCATCGCGAGGAGAGCAACTCGCCCCCTGTAAGTGGGTCACGTAACCCAGGTGAAGCTGGATGGAAGGTTGCCATGGGAACCTAGGATAAACCCCCCTTTGCCTACTTTGTGAACCCTGGCCAGCCCCCTTTTGAGTGATAGTAGAAATGCGGAGTCCCAATAGGTCCCCCTATCTCTGCAATCAATCATCCGGGCAACCTTCTTCCCTCCCTCCCTCCCTCCCTCCCTCCCTCCCTCCCTCCCTCCCTCCCTCCCTCCCTCCCTCCCTCCCTCCCTCCCTCCCTCCCTCCCTCCCTCCCTCCCTCCCTCCCTCCCTCCCTCCCTCCCTCCCTCCCTCCCTCCCTCCCTCCCTCCCTCCCTCCTGCAAGTCACCAGGGCATTCGCCTTCCATCCATCACTTGGGTTCTCTCTCTCCATCCTTGCTAAAATCCAGACAGCCCCATTTCCCTCCATCCCAACAGTCATCCCAACAATCACACACACATATATCTGTGGTGAAGCCTGTGGTGAGGCCTGAAAAATCCTGGCTTTTCAAGTTGTGTCTGTACACAGCTTGTGTGTGCGTGTAGCTGTGGGGGGGGGGGGGGGGGAGCAGAAGTGTCGTGATTAGCTCTGTGCACTACAAACCCGGCAACCCGAGTTCGATTTCCACTCACCGCCAACACAAGTCACGATTATCTGAACCAGTCCTTGGTCTCCCCTCATTCGACTCGGCCTCAAATGAGTAGCTGGTGTCATATGTAAAAACATCAGCACTGAAGAGACAAAGACAGCCGTGCATGGTCCGAAAGTGGTGTTGGCCACTTACCCCTTCGTGTGCCGTGCTGGCCTGAATAGGCCACTCGCAAACAGCACTTGCCCCTAAAAGCCTGTTAAGGCTATACGGGGGATCTTTGTCTTTGCGTGCGAGCATGCTGGTGGGTTTGTGTGTGTGTGGCGCAAGCTCACGTTGTTGAGTGCGTTGATATCGCAGATCGCTTCACAGTCCAGCAGCATCCGCACACATTCCAGGTGCCCTCCCTCTGCTGCCAAGTGGAGGGCTGTGTTCCCATTCTACATCCAGTCGGTCAGGCGGTTTGTCAACAAACCAAGCAAAACGTGTGTTTATACACAGGTCAAGAGCTTCCATTTGATATTTAACTTTCTGATTATAGATGTGTGGCCAAACAAGATAAGGATATGTATTGAGGAGGATATTCGGATGTCACGGCCCGTGACATCACTTCCTGTGATGGCACATTTTTGGGTCAATACGAAAACAAACTACATTCAGATCAGCGGTTAATGTTGTATCTGGCCTCGCACTTTCAGGATTAATCCAAGAACCATGATAATCCCAAAGATATACGATCCCAACCGAATATGCACGCTTATAAGAGAAACTGATTAAAATTTTACATGATAGAATTAATACCTTTCCTCACAACACAAATAAGAGCCAATTGACATACACCATATATTTCAAATCCAAGATGTATTAAAACGCATAGATACAGTGAAAGATAGATATGTACACCGGTTATCTGCATGAATAAACCACTTCCTATAACAAGTTGTTCTCCGAAATTATTTAATAGAAGTCCAGTATAATATTTGAGTATAGTACTGGCACAGTGGTTTCTGACCCAGCTCACAGTTAACACCTCGTGGTGGCGAGATGTTAACTGTGGTATGCAGGAGGTCGTGGGTTCGATCCCAACCTTGACGCCTGTATATTTGGAGATTGCATGTTCTCCCCATGGTCACGTGGATTTTTATCCGTGTCCTCTGGTTTTTCCCTCCACTTTAGAATCAACATGCGTTTAAGATTATTTGGCTGCTTTACATTTCCACGTGATAAGCCACTTCTCATTGAGCTATCATTTGTGGCCAGGTCACTTCTGAAAAAGAGCTACATAGCTCAGTGGGTCTTACCTGATTAAATGAAAAAATAGTTTTAAATAATTTTGTTTTAATCAGTGGTGAGTGATATCTGGACCAGTTCTGGACCGGTCTTTCACCAACAAACACCGACCAGCACGGTGAAGTATGGTCAAGAACCATAATGACTGACACGGTATTGGGAGGTGTTCATCTAGGAGCGGGTTGAGTAAATGATGACTATTGTATACGTGTATACTGCTTGGTGGTCATCTACTAAGACACCATCTCTTGGAGGATGTTAAAGGATTCATCTACTCTTGAATAACTATTACAGTAGCATTGCCTTGAGAGTCTCTCTTTGAAGTTCCACGTGTGCACACATGTGAGAGATAAAAGTCATAACTGAATGCACCGCTTGCTGGAGGTGTGATCAGTGCTGTCCACCGATAGATACGATCATGCCCGGCGACCCAAGTTCGATTCCCACTCACGGCCAACACCAGTGACGATTATCTGAACCGGTCCTGGGCCTCCCCTAGGTATACTCAGCCTCCAATGCCAGACTTCATAGGTGCTCGCTAATAGCCCTTGCCCCTAAAGTTTGTTAAAGCTATACAGGGGAACTTTGTCTTGTGGAATAACAGCACTCACGGCATTCTGGCTGTTGACAAAGTCCAGAGTTCTCCCAGGGCCTTTCTCCAACAAATGCTCCAACGACAGCATGTGGCCACTTTTTGCCGCAAGATGAATGGCGGTGTTTTTCTCCTGAAAAAAAAAATACATGAATCATTGTGCATTAAATGAAATCATATTTAACCAATTTAAATATACTTTATGTCGAAACTATGAGAAGTTGAAAAGTGCAATTTAAAAGTTTCATTTGATTTGTGGGGGATGATCAGAATACTGAAAATGATCAAATACATTATTTCTGAATGTATATTGTATTTACATGTAATTCACACCTAACAATGTATTAACGGTAAATAACTTAGTAGTAATTAACTAAAATGTTCGTAATTCAATATTTGGTTAAAAAACAATTTTTTTGTAATCACTACAGTAGCGTTTAATTTTTGAGTCCAATACGGTAGCCATGTAGTGGAGGTGAGAGGGACTGGCGGGGAAGGCTAAAGATTTTTTTCGTGAAATAAATTTAGAATTTATGTCAGACAGGGCAGACACTAACAGAGCACGCGGAGTGACCGGTGTCGCCACATTTCTTACAACGGATAAGTAGAGAGAATTTTCCTTGTGCACAATCACATGCCAATTGCAAATCTTGAATCTCTGACACATGATTAGCATACGCGCTTCATGGTAGGCTGATGCATGTGGATTGATTGCAAAACACTTCGTTCTAGCGCACCCGGCTTCATTTGCATGAGAACGGTATTCTGGTTGGAGATTCTTTAACTATTTTTCATAGATTTATTCTTTTCAGCATACCCAGACGTCTGGCTTACTCCGAGAGGTTTTTACTGTATTTGCTGTAAAACTACAAAAAATTTGGTGTTTGTATTTATACAAACAAATCAATATAAGCAGTTGATGTATTGTAAAATAAATTGATGTTATTGGGGCCAATTCTTTCCTCCATACCTATTTTCACAATACTTATTCAGATAATTTATTTATTTTTGAATAAAAGTGTTCCTTGAGAATCAGGCCCCCCCCCCTTTTTAGGATATTCCTACATTGAGATATTTGGCCGAATCCTTTCGATTTGAGTGCTTTGCCTGTGGGAAGACACTCGAGTACACAAAGGATAAACAACACTCACATTCAAAAACTACTGTGCAGCAAAACAGAGGATTACAAAAGCCCACACAGGAATGTTTTACAGAGCTATTTAGCATCCTGCCATTTCTTGGCCACGGTAGTGCAGGAGTCCACGAATCTATGTAATCTATGTAATCCACCAGCCTTTGCATCCAAAGCACAGGTGGATCACTCTCAATTTTGGAAACGTTTACCCAAAATGCATCAAGATATTTTGAAATGGGCGTTTAAAGCAACGTTTTGACAATAGGTTAACTTTCATGATCGTTAATACTGTGTTTCTAAAGCTGTAACTTTGCTCTTGCTCTGTTTACTGTGTTACCCCATCGCTGACGTCCTGTGCACACTTGTAATCCATCAGAAGCTCGAGAACTGCAAGTTGTCCGTATTCGGCCGCCAGTAGGTATGGTGTTTTCTCAGCCTGCACAAGAACAGCATACACGTTAGGCCCTGCAATGTTAAAACACAGGAGATAATTTTATTCGATAAATTGGAGGAATTTATTTTGATAAACACCCTCACTCGTGTGAAAAAAACTGCAAGGTTAGTTTCGTTTTAATATCCTTTGGTTCTTTCGGCAAAGTCACGTAGATAGAAAATAGAAATACATATAATTAAAAATAAAAGGAAAAAAATCCACGACGTTTCGATCGCAACACAAGCGGTCTTCATCAGGCGGAGAGAAAAGAAGGGGCAAGCCTCCAAATGCAACTCCTTATAAGGGCTTCCAAAGTTGTGAGAGGGCGCAGGATTAAGAGTTGCGAGGAGGAAAGCTGTGTGGAGTAAACAGCATGGGCGGGGCAGACCATGCAAGCGCGGGATAGAGTTGTTTTACTATGCATTGGAAAACTGAATTCTCGAGGCCACCAAGGTAGACATGGTGTAATTGTTAGCACACTGGACTTGAGATCCAGAGGTTGTCAGATTGATCTCCTGGTGGCGTGAACATTGAAACATGGCTAAGTTTCTAAAATCACCCCCCATCGTTTGTCCAGCCAGCAATATAAACAGATAACCACCACAGTTATTCAATTAGCAGGTCACTCTCTAGAGCTCTCTCTTAGTGGAGGCCTTTTTCGCCGGCAGTGGTGTGAGCGAGAGATTTTCAGGGCTGTGCCTTCACCTGTTGTCCAAATGGCCACAACTCATCAGCTTAGCAGATTGCCTTTTTGGCCACAAATCAGATATAAATGACCATTCACCAACACTGGAATATCACCACAAATTGAGATGACAGCCACACCACAAGGGCACGTATGCATCCTCACTATTTTACTCAATATTTCACTAGGTAAGGCCCACTTAGCTATATAGCTTTTTTACAGAAGTGGCCAGGCCACAAATGATGGCTCAATTAAGTGGCTTATCGTGTCGAAATGTATAGCAGCCAAATACTCTAAATGCATGTTTCTAAATGTGGAGAGAAACACCGAAGAACCCGGGGAAAAATCCACGCAACCACGGGGAGAACATGAGAACTCAAAAAATAGAGGTGTCAGGGTCGGGATCAAACCCACGACCTCCTGTATACCAGATACGGTAGTTAACAACTCACCACCGTGGTGCCCGTGCTAAGACCCGCTATTCTCATCGCAAAAACACTGTCTCGAGGAGTACCCATGTTTATTTAGATGCGAACACGTTTAGCGAGGTAGTAGATACCAGGTAAGTCAAACCCATCCAGGATATGCGAGAACACAATGTACACAGATCAATACAGTAAACACACATTAGCAGCCTACAGATAATATTAGATACTGGTTTTCAAACACGAATGTGTTTTTTCTCAACAATGTCATTCCAATTGTGGTACACGTGACATAGCAGTGCTAAACACTGAGGAATGGCCTCAGAAGGGAAGACGCTAAACCGGGCTAGGCGTGTCTCCTCGAGGTGTGACAATTCGCCCACCTTATGATTCGATTAATTTTTGCAATTCAAGGTCGTGATTCAAATCAAGAATTAATTCTATTTTAGCACTGTGGTGACTGTGGTGGCCTATAGTGGCTGGGTGGATTACATGGGATGATGTAATTCACCCAACACTGTATTTTCAAATTTAAAAACATTGGTTGTTTTTTCACACAGGCGATTTGATGCCCATAGTAGAGCATAAGAATCAATTTGAATTAATGAATCGATGCATTGTTTGGACCCCGCATAGCCTCCCTTTCATCTCATTCCACATTAATGTATATTAAGAATGCATTCCTTTACATATGCAGATGAACTGCTTGCCCACTGTCTATCTACTTTGTTGTATTTATCGTGATTACTGAGCACAGGCTAAAAGGTCCGAGATGCTAAGCCTTCTCAAACAAGTCAAGTACAATATTTGATTTTGTTTTCATGTGTAGCCATTCAAAAACCAGATTCAGTCCCAAATTCAAACAATCAACTGTGACAACGCTGTTGAAAGCAAGGCTGATGGAGAGATTTTCAGGAAGATTGTTCACAATGCAACTTACGTTGGTTTTACCCTCAATGCCGAGGTCTTCAAGGGACTCCAAGGTATATTTAACAGTCTCAACGTGTCCTCTCTGAGCAGCACAGTGTAAAATGTTCAGGCCATTCTAATGGAGCATTGACAGGCAAAGGGAGCAAGGCATGAGTGAGAATCACGAGAAGAGAGTGATATTTGTGCGTTATTATCACGTGTTTCATGACACTGGCATTGCAGAGCAGCATAAACAACATTCGGACTACGGTAACACCGATGACCCGCCGTTTGCCACGAAGTGACGGTGACGTCATCCACGGCACCTGTGCCAGGCTAGTTAATAATACCCACACGTGCCACGTTTATATGCACATTCACTCTTACTGTAACGTGCATAAACTTTCATGGAAAACACAGGCACACATCACCTATAAAGCTTAACAGAGCACTGTAAGGCTCATGAGGGATCCAAATGACAAATGATGAGATTCAAACTAGGCTCACTTTATTGGCCGAGTCAAACTCGAGCACAGGGAATCTGCAAACTGCAGTGTGTAGTCGAGCCGATGATTCATCTTATTTAACGCATTAAACCTCACTGTATTTTTTTAGGAGTATTGTGGGTAATTAAATTCAAAAGGCTTCCATTCCAATAAGGTTAAAATAGTTTTAGTCCAGCCTATGGGCTTTTCAGGACAATCTTACCCAGAATCATTCTCAAAGTTACGCTTATTAATAAATGCTGTTGGATAGTGCTGATATTGTATTTAATGCAGCGAAAATACAGATTGGCTTTCATGTCATCTTAGAACCTTCAGTAAATGCAAATAAATATAAAAAATGTCAGTAGTTTTACAGTTAAATAGCATTGATCTGTAAATGTATCTTGTTGTTTGTGATTTGGCACCAGCCACATGGGCTAGTGTAGGTGTGATTGGGATAACGATTAGGTTGAAATGCTGATGATATGGAAAACAATCCCAGCGGTTTTCTTTTTACCAACCAAGTAAGCCTCACTCAGCCACGGTGCTTTTGAGGATGGTCTTGCTTTGCGATGTTTGAGCAACTGTTTTATTGACCATTCCTGGCGTGCGGAAGGAAACCAAGGGAGCCAAGTGAACACATAAGAACGTTTTTTAACAGGGGTGGCCAGGTGGCTCCAGAGTCAGAGCACTGAGCTGGAAACCAATGACACCCTGGGTTCGAATCAAAGTCAGCCACCTTTGATTGAACCAGGTTCTCAACTGCAGTGTATTGATGGTCTCAGTCCAGTCACCAACGCACGTGCAAAACACCCCCCCCATTGCAGGCAATCTGGATTGCCTCACATTTATACAGATGCACATGGATGTGTGTATGTGTGTGTATACATTATATCCACATGGTAGGAAAGGAGAATTTTACACCAGAGTAGCAAAAAAAATATGCACAGGTTGGTGACAAGATTACCACAGAAACGTTCCACATTCCATCACCGCACCCACCCCAGGGCATACCGCCTTGCTGACGGGTTGTTTCTCCCCCAACCCCAGCCTAGATCTGCCCTGGCCCTGCCCATGTTTGCAATTTCCGCCATGTCGAAGACACAGAGGTGGAGGCCATGTCCTAGTATGCGAAAGCCATTACTTTCTACTGAATTGGATGGGTTTTTTTTTCCACTGACATCAGCTATTAAATATCTTTTATTTAACCAGGAGATTAAATAAACCCATTGAGACACCTGAAACAACATTGTCTCATTTTCAAGAAAAACCTAGCAGCGACAGTGTCTGCGAAACGATTGATTGGGCCATGGATATTTACTTTAGATGTCAATATCAATCAAATGCAATTACAACAGCAGCAATGCAAGCTATGGCCCAGGATGTGATTGCTTTCCAGAGTTTAAACCTGCTGCCCCGTCCTTACCTTGTTCTGGCTGGAGACTCTCCCTCCACCATTCACGAGGCGCTTGAGAACCTCCAGGTGTCCGAACCAAGCCGCTATGAGCAGAGGATTCATCCCATACTGGAGTAAACGACCATAATGCACAGCAGTCAGCTTCAACGCCAGCACATCTTGGTGGCAGAGGTTTCAGCAGGCCAATATTTCAGATTGTGTTTAGCAAGGGTAGACCGTTGACAATGCCAGTGGTTTTACCGCACTGGTGATGCCAATAAATGTTGACATTCATTGACCCTTTTATCAACCAGTCTTGATCAGCATTCTACATTGTGATGACGGTGCTCCAAAAAGGTGTCTTCAACAGCAACATTTAGCAACAATCGCGGCATACTTTGAATGTCAAGATAACATCAACGTTCCTGGGCACATTCTGTGCATAGCTTTGTGATGGCTGTCAACTCAAAAGCCAAGATTGTGGCATCAATAGATTGTATTTCGTTTTTTTTGGTATTTCTACTCAAGATACCAAAAATAATTCAAAGCATAACAACCTTACGCATTGTGGTGTGACATTGCTCACAAGCATGGCACTCCAATTCAAGAGAAAACTATGTTACAGTACATTTATGGAGCAATCCTAAATAAACGGCTACCACATGTATCAATATTTAGAAAGCGTGTGTTAAGTCAAAGCTCCAGGTGTACCGTGTTATTTTCAGAAATATAGAAAAGGAAAGAATCGAGGACAGACGAACTCTCAGCCCCCATCTCCCACCTCCTGCCTTCCCTTCTCCACTGGTCGTGGCACAGAAAGGCAGCAGACACCCCCCCCCCCCCCCCGGCCCTCTCAACTCTCTGGGTCGCGCATGCACAGTCAAGGAAATGGCCTGCGCGGTGTCCCGCAACGACCGAGCAAGCTCAAAAGCATGCCGTGGAATTAACCAGGTTAAGAAGCACTCCGTGAAGCGCTCCGAAGCAGTTAGGGAAGCAGACTTCACACTGTGAAGTGCACGAATTTGAGTTTGTTGCCAGCAACATTATTTTGAAGGCAAAAGAGATATAAGTTGGAATGTAATGTGGTCAAATGTACTGCAGCAAAAGGGAAGTTTAACACTGCTACGCCATGACATTACCCAACCGGTATAGAGTTCGTGTCAAATTACTTGACCAGGATCCAACAATCCAGTCTGTACTTTATCCGCCAACCCTTGCTGGATTATCAACGGATCGCTGCATCGCAAGGTCATGAATGGTGGCGGTAGCTTGGGGGAGGCCTTCACCCAGCAGTGGATCGATCATGGCTGATTTATTTACGGGATTAAATTAGATCATTGCCAGCGTGAAATGCGGGCCAATACCGAAGTGGTTAGCATTCTTGCTGTCCGATGCTGGAATGTAATATACTGAAGTCATCTAAGCCTATTTTGTAAAACATCGTAAATAAACGCATCTGAAATTACATATGCTCTTGGAATAAGAGGATGCACAGATTTGACAGAGCAGGACATGGATAAGCCAGGAGACAGGGTGTCAAGCTCAATGCTAGTCTTCAGAAAAGAAAACGTGGGTGCACTGTGTATGTATTAATCGATACTCCGATTAAAATAAATTCTTATTCTCACAATACTTCCATCATTCCTTGCATGTGACGTGTTATGAAGTCAAGTATGCTGACACTACTAAAACAAGCTAAATTATTGATGTCATTCAATCATCCGGACTCTTTTTAGAATGATCTTGGATATTTGGCCAAATCTGATTTGAGGAAAGTTTTGCATGTGGGAAAATACTAGAGTGCTGAGAGAACACCCTTGCATATGAGGAGATAACAGTTGAAAGGTCTGCAAATATGGCTTCATCAACCCATTGCTGTAATGCCATTTCTTGAATCACCAACCCTTGACTCCTCAGCGCTGGATTATTGATAAGCGTGTACAATATATTTAATAAATTACTTGATATCATCAAATACCATTCTACATCTCCTGCAAACACAAAATATGAGCTTTGAATCATATTGTGACCATGATTAATTTTGCAGGGGGTGAATCGTTACATGCCGAACAAAATGGCGAGCTTTAGCTATCATTTTATTCTCAAAAAAATGCTCCCATTTAATTATCCCATGAAGACGTGTGTACCGGACAGGCCTTTATAATAATGGCCGATACCTTAACGGATAATTCGCCTGTGAATTTTAAGTAAGCATCGGTTCACTCCAGCCGTGCCAAAACCCAGCCCCTGGGGGATATGTCGGTGCCGCGCGCCAAACCTTGTCACCCTTGTCCACGTTCGCCTTTCTCTCCAGAAGCAATTTGACGGCGTCCTCCTGGCCACTCCCTGCCGCAAAGTGCAGTGCTGTTTGGTCACGCTGAGGGTGATGCCACAGGTGGGACATTGGTGAGAAGGTGCGAGCGGTGAAGGGGGTGAGGACGGGGGACACACACGTGATAAAAAAAAAATTCTATGTAACCTGCGCCGTTTTCAGTTGGATTCACATTCGTTATTACTACGCTAACTATTTAGTTAGGTATGTACGTATGTTGAACTTTTTTCGCACAATGCATAGCCAACCCGTGCTAATCGGAGGTGATACTGCGTAGGCAGTGGTGCGGTAGTCTGGCGGTTAGCTCGAAGTGCAACGAGCTCGGCAACCCAAGTTCGATTCCCGCTCACGGCCAACAACAATGACAATAATGTGAACCCATGCTGGGCCTCCCCTAGGTCGAATCATCCTCAAATGAGTACCTGGTGCGGTGTGTGTAAAACATCGCCACTAGGGAGACAAAGGCAGCCGGGGGTGGTGCTGGACACCCATCCCTTCATACACCGTGCCGGCCTTATTAGGTGTTCGCTAACAGCACTTGCCCCAACAGTCTGTCGAGGCTGTACGGGGGTTCTATGTCGTCGCAGTGGTGCACAAGCACAATGAGCAGAAAAAAACGAATTCGTCAATAAACACTGCCTGAACAGGGAAAATATATAATCGTTGATGTTCCAGGCAATGGCCCTTCTTCACAGTGTACATGGTCTGCTCTCTTTCTCACACTCTGGAAGTTTCGCTCTTTGAATAACTGAGTTCTCTCTTCTCGGGCCTGACTAAAACGTTGCTTATGTGAGGCCTGTAATTCACTTTGCTGAATGTCACTTGTTTGAGGAGATGGCATTTGAAAAGGTCTGCCAAGACCCAGGGCACATGTGTAAAAGAGACTTGATGTCTCATTGGGTTCCTAAGCGGTGAAATAACGTTGATCACGAGGATGGTGATGATGAAACAGACGTATTTACATATATTCTGTTTCTGGGATCACAAAATGGACTGCAGTATCTATTGCGTACACAATGGTAATACACGTGCATTCATTCGTCAGTTAACATTTAGTCTTGCATGCACGGCCATCGTATTGTGGGTGTGAGAATAAATTATTTTCAATTTGTATATCTAATTAGTTAAGATTACATTCACCAGAGCCATAAAGTATTAGTTCTTGATGATAACCGTGACCACGAATTGTGAAGATTCATTAAATCATGAGGGCAGCGAACCATTACATGACCTACGCCATCTGTACAAGCAGGGAAGAATCTATAATGTGACTGCATCGTGCCCTCTCAAATGTGTTTCTGCAGCAGTCCGATATTAGGAAGACACTGGAGCTATGCACTTTCAAACATAAATTGAAAACGAATTTCTTTAGAGCTGCTTTTTGCGTTTAGTTTGTTGTCCTTCCCCGGCACCTCTGATTAGCTACGTAGGGTGCGAAAGAAGTTCAACAAAGATAAGTAGTGGATTCCACGGAGGCACACACTTGACTTGGAGGCGACACCCTTATTATAATGCCCCAACAGGGTAACTACATAAACGTACACAGTACTAGACCCCAACAGAGTAACTACGTAAACGGGTCACGTCAGCGACACACTGCCTGACCCACAATGCCGAGCGTAACGACCGAAGACCGAAGAGACGTAGCACTGAGGGTTCCATTCCAGCAGACAGCCGCGATTACTCTCGGGACCTCCCTTTTATGCTCCCGAGCGTGGCCTCATTCCGCCCTCGGCCACGCCCCCCTTCTGGATCTCACCAGAAGGTTCTCGACCGAGCATCACGTGTCCCTCAAGCCCCCCTTTGGGCCCACTCGCTACCCTCTCCCGGTCACGTGCCCTCTCGGGTTCACCCAGACTGGCACGTCCTTACTTGCCCTCTCTCTGAACACCACCAGAACCATGCCCCCCAGGGCCCGCTTCCATGCCATACCTACTCTGGTGCCAGAGAGAGACTTAAGACACACAGTTCCACTATTGTGACAGCAGCTGGCGCTAAACGCCATAGTGACTCCATTTACGTCACTACACATACAAGAAAGAACCTCACCACACATCACTGACACTGCCATATAGTAAATCAATATTACAGGAGACCGATATTCTGAACAATGGCTCTTCTTCAGTGTAGAGAAAAAGGCAACTACAACATTGTGATTAACTTATAACAAGGGTGTATTTTACTCTGTCGTGCCTTTTAAAACTTAAGATAGTTGATATATATTAGCAATTTGTATTAGCAACAGATAATGGGTAGCAAAGAAACCTTACATGTGTAAGATACATACGATTAAATAGTCGTTTTAAAAATATATATACATTGACATCATGGAAGACAGTGTAAACGCCTATTGCCGTTTCGCATGCTAACTATTTTGGCGTGACTTTTTTCGCAAATGCTTTTATGTGGGTTGTGCACTATATATAAAGCCCGTGTCCTTTCATCGGTCTTAAGACATCATCGCTCCGTGCTTGATTGCTTCGCGGTGACACAAACACATTTTCAAAGAACAACCTCTGTGCATTATGCAAACTCCAACCTCCGTGACTCTGTTATGTACCACTCCATACAACACGCTACCTTACATACACCATGCACCTATTCCTGCAATCAAATAACATGCAACATGGCCAACATGCAAATCAAGTCTTCTATATGATCCCATATCTGTTCATAGCATCACATGTACCTCATGTTTCTGCAAATAATCTGCTACAGTATTCCCTCGTTCACGAAGGATACATTCTGGAGATGCTCGTGAAGAGCAAATTTTGCGGATAATGATATTGGCCAACGAAAACCCATCTTTTAAACTAATTACCTTAAATAAATACGTAAATAAGCTATTAAATACATGAAAATTATCTCACTTGATCGCATTAGATTCTTTATCACTTTACCTCGTCACTCTCTCGCTCTCAATGCAGTTGTGTAGAGTTAACGTCTCGCCACGGTGGCGAGACGTTAACTACAAGGAGGACATGAAAACTCCAAATATACAGCAGCAGGCATCAGGGTCGGGATCGAACCCACACCCTCCTGTATACCAGGCAAGGTCCTACCCCCTGCCAGCCCCAGCTGCTTGAGTTATACACGTATTCCTGCACTAACATCACCGCTGCACTTTGAACACACCAATTGGATTTGTCCATCTTGATTAGGCCCTCCACCGCTTCAACCACACTGCTCCAGTCTGCCAGTGTATATATAGGGGGGGGCATGCTCCGTGTCAGCTCAGGCTCCAACACGGTTCGCCTGCAAAAATAAAAATGACTCGTGGATAACAAGTTGGGTGACGGCCCTTGAATTTCCTTCACCGTCCGTTGACCCACACGGGGCAGTGCAAGGGCAGTGAGGATTTGGACGTACCATGTTCTTAGCATCCACCTTCACTTTCTTCAGCAGCTTCTCCATTTCGTCCACATCATTCCGTTTGGCCGCTTCGTGGAATTCTTTCTCACATTGGAGCACTGTGGGCACATAATGGGCAGAACACGGCACTGAATGGGTATGTTTTTACACCAGAGGAGTATTTTCTTGAACCCACCAATTTCAAGCTGCATCGAGTAATAATACAAATGCTGAAAAATGCAATTTACGAATTTAAAATTCAGTCTCTAACAGATGACTTTACCACTTGATGCCTCTACAATGGCCAGGCCCACCTGTCATCCAGCACCTCAGAAGAGAGGGTTAGTGGATCCAGCAAATATGTGAGGCTTCCCCACCATTAGGCTGTGAGGTGGCCAAGAGATTGCAGTACAGCAAGTGGATTGAATCCATCTGTGCGGAGCTCTGAGTGGTATTAACTGGCAAGCATGGGTTTTCTCTGGGGAGCCTGGTTTCCTTCCCCGTGCCAAATGCTCATGTGTGCAATTGAGCAAACATTAAAATGCAGAACCCTCCTAAAAAAGAATCCTAAGCATTAGGCTACCCTAAATAAACAAAGGATGTTATTACTATTATAATTAGCAAAAACCATACAGTGGTCCCTCGATTGACGATATTAATTGGTTCCACGAAAACCATCGTTAATTGAAATAATCGTAAATCGAAGATGGGAAATATATGTCAAAGCCTTAATTTGTTCCAAGACGACCGTAATAATTTCCTACTTAATTTTCACACTACTGAAATTGTTTTCCTAACTTTCTTCACACTCATTTTAGGGGCCATTGTTATGCATGTTATTTAACTTTTAAGTAGAAAAACACTAAGCATTCAAGAGAGCTGTTTCCATATGTAACGCACATCAAACATTCAAGAGCTAGCATCCATTTGCTCTCAAAACGCTGATAAAAGGGTGTCGCTGAATGGCCGAGGTCTGCTTTGTCCACGTTGCATTCCAATTGGCCGACATTGGTGCTCGAGCTATATCGTAATCATATCGTTAATCGAAAATGTATCGTTAATATAAACTAGCCTTTTGCCCATCCGAGGATGGGTGTATTGCAGTAAATCTGAAACTTGCAAGCGAAAAGGAGACCGCGACGTGATATTCATTGCATCAATGCGTGTGCAATTTGTAAGGGCGCGGTGACACAGACCTATTTCATTTTATAATCCCTTGTCCATCGTGACGTCCTTTTTACTTTGATGTCTCAACAGCGTTACGGAGATCGCGTGACGTGAGGGTTCTGCCTTTGTAGTGAGGGTTTAAGTTGACGCCGAGGAGGGGGGAGGAGGCGCCTCACCCCCCCATGTGGAGTGACGTCAGCCGCTAATTATTATGAATGGGGGGGGTGTCCATTTGGAGGAAGGCACCTTATAATGATTATTAATGAGGGGGGCTGTTCGATGTGGAGTGACGCCATCTGCTCATGATTATTAATGAGGGGGGTCCATGTGGAGGACGTAACCTGTTCATGATTATTAATGAGGGGGAGTGTCCATTTGGAGGACGTCACCTGCTCATGAATATTAATTAGGGGGGGGGGGGGCTGGTCGATGTTGAGTGACGTCACAAGCGTTAAGGACAGACATTCCTGGGTGATTATAGTAGGTATGGGACCCTATGCGAGGTGGATCGTTAATCGAAAACATCATTAATTGACGGCATCGTAAACCGAGGACCACTGTACGCCATCCGATATCTGTTCTGGTTTAGGTGAAACTAGGGAAGCTGTTGACAATGGCAGGAAAATCCGACGCAATAAAAAAATATGCACGCGCTACATTTGCCTTCAGATTAAATTTCACACATTACAGGTATCGTCTATCACGCTGATTCTAGCTCGAACAAACAAGCTCACTGTGTACAGTTCACCTGCAATAAAAGCTTCCGAGTGTTGAATGACTCATTTGACCCAGCGTTTATAATTATGGCAATGCAACTTTCCTTTCACCTGAAGGACACTGATGTACTGTGAAGACTCGCGTTCGTTATAGATGGTCACGAGACCAATTCGTGCATTTGGTCAGATTAATGCGTTCTTTATGAGTTCATTTTAAACCATTTGAAAGTATGCATATATGAACGGGAGTGTATCATTTCAGCAAAATGTATTTAACAAGATTTTGATGCCACATTCCCAGGTTCTCCTGCAGGGGTATTTCGCTCGATATGTGATCATTCATTCCACTATGTAACACAATTTTTGTTCGTGGGTAGTAAGTCTTATTTCGTAATTGCTTATGCCTAAAAAGTATAGAAAATGGATATTATTCCCCACAAACTTTGCTTTTGTGACCAGGCCAGTGATATTTTGAAATTGAACTATATTCAATGAAAAACTGGTGAATTTGCGTCTTTTTGCGTCTTTTCGTTCACATAAAGTCAGAAAAAACAACATATGAATCAAAATTCACATTATCTAATACAAAAATGACTACAAAAGATTTAGAAGCGAGTAGTTTTTGGAGATTTACAATTATACTGTAAATCACTTTCACGAATCAACCCCCAAATGTAGTCTCCCATCATGTTCTCGTTATACTGTCCTTGGTAATGGCGTTCAAAGTCCAGAATATCCTGGTGGAAAAGCTCACCTTGCTCCTCCGAGTACGCTCCCATGTTCTCCTTGAATTTATCAAGATGAGCATCAAGGACATGGACTTTGAGGGACATCCGACAGCCCATTGTGCCGTAGTCCTTCACCAGAGTCTCAACCAGCTCCACATAGTTTTCGACCTTGTGATTGCCCAGGAAGCCACGAATCACTGCGACAAAGCTGCTCCAAGCCGCTTTCTCCTTACTAGTGAGCTTTTTGGGGAAATCATTGCACTCCAGGATCTTCTTTATCTGTGGTCCTACTAAGCCACCGGCTTTGACCTTTGCCTCAGACAGCTTAGCAAAAAAGTCTTGAAGGTACTTGAAGACTGCTGACTCCTTATCTAGAGCTCTGACAAGTTGTTTCATAAGGCCCAATTTGATGTGCAGTGGTGGCATCAGCACCTTCCGGGGGTCCACCAGTGGCTCCCACTTGACGTTGTTCCTCCCCACAGAGAACTCGGTCCGCTGTGGCCAGTAGTGTGCCTTTGTGTCTAAATCTTTTGTAGTAATTTATGTATTACTTTAGTATAAATACATGTTAATTTTGATTAATGTTTTTTTCTGACTTTATGTGAACAAAAAGACACAAATTTGCCCGTTTCTCGTTGAGAATAGGTACATTACAAAATATCAATGCTCTGGTCACAAGAGCAAAGTTTGTGGGGAATGATAGCCATTTTCTGTACTTTTGAGGCATAAGCAATTAGGAAATAACACTTACTACCCAGGAACAAAAAAATTGTTACACAGTGTTATCTATGGCCACTGATTCCCTGTGGGAAAAAAGTCTCATGGAAAGTTTTACTGGGTCATTCCATGCCAACTCAATCAGAAAAGGGGCGTTTGTTGACCGACCATATCAGACCTTGTTAGAAATTTTCAGCCGGCTGTGTTCGGCCCCACCGGGTTCAAACAATTCTGGTCATTATTTTAAAAAATATATATTCCCTTCGAGCTGTGACCTCACAAATGTCAGCCTGAAGTGAAAAAGTTACCCCTTGAGTAGAAAGATCACGTAGACGCTATAATCATATGTAGCGACTCGGAATGAAGAGGGCTTTCGAGACATACATTCTAGAAATGCTTAACTCACTTGTGGCAAGTTGCCATTAGAGGTGTTGGTGGCAAGTTGTTTTCGACATTCAGACCAACATTTCGATTGAAAGCTTTCGTGAATGCAAGGATTCATCTTCTTTGGTTCTTTCGGTAAAGTCACGTAGAATGAGAATAAAATAATAAATTAATAAAAGAACACAATAAAATTCTCACGACGTTTCGGCCACAACACAAGCGGCCTTCATCAGGTGAAGGGACGAGACTGTCACCTGATGAAGGCCACTTGTGTTGTGGCCGAAACGTCGTGAGAATTTTATTGTGTTATTTTATTTTATTAATTTATTATTTTAATCTCATTCTACGTGACTTTACCGAAAGAACCAAAGAAGATTCAGACCAATACTTTAACCCGTGGGGGGTGCGGGTAGTATAGTATGAGGATTGCTGTCAGAACACGAGGGACCAGTCTTCTAAAATTTTGTAAAACACTTGTGCTGTCAAGTCCCAGCACAAGTCATTAACCCCCTTTGAAATGTAATTTGTTGTTACTTTTACCCCGTTTACGCCAAAATAACTCGGGTACGAGGGACTCCAAAAAAAACATCCTAAGATGTTGTTGAGATCTCCAAAAAAATTACCAAAATAATGTTTGGATGTGAGAGTTTGGGATTTTAGTAGGGGCTCTAAAGTGGTATTCGAAATGATTTTATGTACGTTGAACTTCTTTTGCGCCGTACGTAGGTAAATATGACTGGGTGTGCTTCCAGTGACACTGGCTTGGAGCAGAGCGGTCATGGACGTGCGTGTGGGATTTTGGTTCCTTTGTTACAATGGCACATTTGAAACTACCTAAACCTCACTTCGTTGCATAAAAAATACAAACTGATATAAAACACGAAAATATATTGCCTTGGCAAACTCAAGGTGCTAGGGCTTAACTGTTAAAGTGCTATATAAATCTAGATAAGATGAGATATTTTTAGATACGTAGCGTACCATATGTGGCTTACGAATTTAACATTTGCTTTGGTTGTGAGGTACGGTGTTGAAAAAAATACGGAAAGATTATTTGTCGAAAAAAATCTTCACTGTTTTCCCGACCATTTGAATGCCCATGACCTTATGCCATCTTGACAATATGATAATGATTCAACTTTGTGATGTGCGATTTCTGTACCAGATGGTAACCCTCTCACATTCTGCATGCAACTTTCTTTTCTTTTTAAGATGCCTTATTTTTTTGCGTAGGTATGTACTCGTCTTAAAAACTGGGATGTTTACTTTAAACACAAGTAGGAGTAGATATGTGACAATTTAGAAACGCCGGAAGTATATTTTTTTCAGAAAAAAAATAACTTGCGTGTTTGAACCGAGTTTGCTTGAAAACCCTCAGGTGAGTTTTTCTAGACTTTGGTTTGTGTTCGAATGGAATGATGCTCCAGTATCAGATACATGCACCAGGGCTTTGAAATCCTTAATCTTCTTCTTCTTCGTATGGTTGATATATGTGTAGACCAACACCTATAACTTTACATTTAGTTCGTTGAGCTAGATAATTGCTTCAGGAGTAGCCGAGTTTATCGCTGCGATGCCTCCTTTGTATTTGTAAATCGGACACTGAATCATTGTATGTTCCACGGTCCGTTCTGGGTGACCACAGTCGCACAAGTGAAGCCTTTTAATTTTTTATTTGTGCATCAAGTATCGGCATCTGCCATGCTTTGTGCCGATGTGGTTTTAGGGTGGTCCATAAGCTTTGTGGAAGATCAAAGCCAGGGATCTTCTGCATCGAATGTTTCACGAGGAGTTTGTGACTTCTTGTGAACTACATTCGGCTTTCCAAGCATTATCAGGGTTGAAGTCGCATTCTCAAAGGTTAAGCGCATGAGTCCAAAAGGTGGGGAGGGACGTTATTGAGATCTTGCTGCATGGGTAGACGTACATTTCCCGTGTGAGGACTTGACATTTCCAAAATGTCAACTGCAGTAGGTGTCAAAATGTCAGTTTTAAGATGTCATATCTAGCCCAACAATGACACATTATTTAGCACAAGTTCACTGTTACCAACTTTCCAATTCACTTTTCATTCCAATGAGTTCCATTTATTTAAATAAAGTGTATTCGTAAATTCCATCATTGTCATCGTCAGGCATGCTCAATCCACTGCTGGATGAAGCCCTGTCCAAGCCATCACCATTTATCATGATCCTAAAATGTAATTATCCACTAAGATTATATCTTTCCAAAAAACAGATATGCTACGCGCTAGCAAGAACTTTATATGCCCTTTGTTTGAATTTACGAAGGAGTTAATGTTTTAATTTCAAAATATGCTGTTATAACAATATGAATAATTTCCAATGGAAATTTAAAGGCTGAAAAGCAGGGCTCACGATAAATTAGCAACATAAAGGTGACGTATTAAAAATAAATCGCGAAACTAAAAAATATTGATGGTGAGACAATAAGACACTATTTTAATTATGTATATACTATTGAGGGTGGACAAGTTATCAAATGGAAACAGGATGAAGCACTTTTGGAAGACTAAACTTGATCATAAAATGCAAAATACCCATGTGACTAAGGAAAAGTTTTTTTTCTATCGATGCATCTTACCCCTCATGACATACGAAACATGGACACTGACAAATTTGCGAAATATGATATGTCGGATGGGTCCAGATATACAGACTTGGAATTACACGTACATTTTGCAAAAAAAGACATGGACAAGGGAAAAAAAATCATATGGGAGCCACCATGTTGCCTGTTACTGGAAAGTACATCGCCTTCGGCAGCAAACATCGGGAGAAGGAATGCAAGTTGATGGATGTGACTGCTGATGGAATGGCTGTCAAAGTAAAGTAGAAAACACACCCAAGAGGATGACCACTGTGGAGGTGGGGGGATGAGATCAACTCTTCCGTAAGAGATGGATTAGAGCATCGCAAGATGAGTATTGGAATTGCTATGGGGAGGCCTTTATTCAGGGGAAGCCTTCATTCAGCAGTGGACGGGCCGTGCATGATGATGATGATACCACACGCGATGGATTCCATCTACGTTATATTTATAAATCAGGATGTTACTGTAAAAAAAAACCAACGCATTAATCAGAGCACGCAAATCTGATTCTGCGCTTTATAAATAATTAAAATAAATATTTGAAGAAACTAAAAGTTACTCAACTAATTTGAATACAAACAGGGTGATTTTGAGTTATGTATTTTGTGTTGAACAGCCTTGGATGAAGAAAGCCTAACTCTGTTGATGAAGCAATGCTTTTGAAATGATGTACTCCTAGAAGGCCTTGTGGCTGATGGGATGTATAATAATACTTTCATTGGTTATGTGGAGGGACAATTTTAGTTACATGAAGGTGTATTATCGATATCACAAAGTTATTTCTCAACTTCTGCTGCTTAATGGCAACCCAGTGTATTTGCATCATTACACACAGTGCGTATAACGTACACACAAGGGCACACTTTAGGGAGTTGTCCTATCTGGTGGAAAGTCTAACCAAGCCCGAACATTAACTGCTCTTATTCTGAGGAATTTTCAGAAAGCATGAACAAAATGTACATATCATAAAGCATCTAATTTCTGTTAAAACATAATAAAAGACAGACACGTATCACTGCACCATCGATGATTCACTACAGTGCTATGCTATACACAGTCCATCACACAAAAATGTGCAGACCACACCTAACATTTTATACGAAATAAACCATCCGAGCATCTTTGTGCATGAAAAAAACAGTTTTTGCAATGCCAGCTGGATTTCCATGAACACGTGTTCTCATGCCAACCTGCTCGTATCGTAGCAATCGACGAAATAGGCACTTTATGTAACTTTTACAATATTTCTCAAATAAAATATGAAATGAGATGGGTATGGAACTTGTGGAAACAACATATTAAAGAGAGCTAGGGGTTCATGTTGACTCAGCACTGCCCTCTCATCCAGACAAACCAGAGACGCAACTAAGAAAGCCAATACCAATGCGTGGGTATTTCGAGAAAAGTGTCAAATATAATTCCAGAGAGACAATTGAAAAGACACAGATGAAAGGATTGTCTTATTCGTCTCACGGACCCCTTGTAGTCGGAGGGTCAGGAGGGTTGCCCACGTCCTTGTTTACCCAGGATCGTCTTTTTTTGTGCCAGGTGGTTTGGAAATGTAAAAGTATCTCCACGACATTATGAGTTCAGTTTTTTGTCGGTTGCATAATAATAAACCACAAAAGCCAATCCATTAACAATCAGCTGTCCCCTTTCCTGGTTACCGCGAGATATCCGCATTCCCATGATGTGTACTAGTGCATTTTGTACCTCAGGAGGTGGCGAGATGTTAACTTCTTCGCCTGGTATACAGCAAGTAGTGGGTTCGATCCTGACCCTGACGCCTGTATATTTGAAGTTTGCATATCTCTCTCCTCATGGTTGAGTGGATTTTTCTCCAGATCCACCAGTTTTACCCTCCACATTGACTTGTGGAGGGCAAAAAACAGTATTTGGCTGCTATACATTGCCACATGATAAGCCACTTCGTTGAGCTACCAGGTCGCATCTGGAAAAAGAGCTACATAGCTCAGTTGGCCCTTACCTGTTCAAATAAAATAAAGTTAATGCGCTGTACGCCATCTTTGGACTCCACTGTCAGGCATGTAATGCCTCCTAGGGCAAAGGTAAATTTTTTATTGTGTTACTAATGTGCTACTAATGTCCACGCCCGCGTGAGATTTGACTGCTAAATGCGTCAATCTCACACCAAATGCGCGCGTCTTGAGAGCTCTGACACGCGGGAATGAACGTCACTTAGGGGCCAGCAGACCATGCGTGCCATTAGCTGACAGCAAAATTAGCGGACAGCGGCCGTCTGGAACGCTCTTCCTTCCCGGAGTTATGCGCTTTTAAATCGAGTTGAAAAAAATAACTTCTTAAGAACTGAATTTTTTTGTGTTCAGTTGTCCTCCCCCCGTACAGCTGATTGACGCGGTTGGCTAAGTACGGTGCGTACGAAGTTCAACATCCCATACATAAAGTCATAAACGAAACCGGCTTGCAAACCAGGCCTGCATGTGGTGCCAACACGTAGAATAATTAAAAAAAATCACGTAACAGTCTGTTCTCCTGTAACGCGGTAGTTGAGTTCCTGAAGAACACCGCGTTATGGGAAAATCTCGTTATAATAAATAACATAGAATACTATAAAGTAAACAAATACTGAAGCGCGTTGGGTAGCATCTAGAAGCATCCAGCAGCATCCCGCCTTGTGCGATTATGATCATGATGATGCTGCGCCGAGGCAGCCGTAACAATCGCTCGCTCCGACCTCGTTACATACAATTCGCATCCACGTTATTATATAAACACACCACCACACACCACCACCACCACACAAAAAAAGGCGAAAGTGTTCCCCCGAATGCGCTCTCGGAGAAGAAGGATGATAGAAGACACAGACACAGGACACCGACATGATTGTACTTACTCCTGGCGTCGTGTGAGCGACTACAACTGAGTGATGCCGGGTGGCCTGCACCGAGGGAGACGAAATCTTGATGAATTGTGCCGCGTGTAGCCTCGGGGCACAGGAGCAGCGAGACGACCTCCAGGGCCATAAACACGACGACTTTAACCGACCTTTGACATGCAAGGGCGAAACGCGGACCGACCCATTCGATCGAGTGGTAAAACTTTGCAAAAGGCAACTCGAGCCAAATCATCGCATGATCAATTCTTATCGCTGAACATGTCACAATGTAGTCATAGCCACCGAAGCATTGGCGGACGCGAGTGTACGTAACGCAAGTTTATTTTTGCACGTTTGCCCCTGCTGATAGGCACAACAAATATGTTACAAGAGGGGTAACAAAGACGCTGCCCAAAGCCGCACCTTAACTGCATGCAATCTATTCTTGCTTCGTTCGGTAAAGTCACGTAGAAGGGAAACAGTAAAATAAAAAATATATAAAAAATATTTTCATTTTATTGTTTCCCTTCTACGTGGTGACTTTACCGAAAGAACCCAAGAATATGAATTCCTGCCAGTCACGAAAGCTGTAAATCTAAATTTGCATGCAATATAATAACAACCACCACAACGTTAGCCAATGCCTCGCTCGGTCTACGCAAAGCAAAACACGTCCGGGGAAGGCCGACGTTTTATAGCTCCGTGCCGATGCCAACAACAACACCACCACCAGCGAGCGACTTGATTCGCATCGCATATTGCTCGTCGGATGAACAAAACACCTTGGGGAGGATGTGAACGTCCATTCCCAATCCCCGGGGGGGGGGGGGGCACGCAAGTCCTTGCATACTCTTACGGAAAGACGCGACTTTAAGTAAAAGCCACACACACACACAGACACACGGACACGAGACGGACACACATTTGATCGCCCTTAAACCGGTGGTGGCACTCACTCGTCTCATCGTCGTCGGCCAATTCGTCGTCCATCCCTGTCAGATTCCCGGCGACGTTGAACGAACTTTGGGGGGGGGGTTTGTGTCGGTGACGACGAGAACCGCGGCTTCTTTGTGGCGCCCGAGTCTGCGATGAGAAGTCGACGACGACACGTTCGTGTGATGAGGACCACCCACCCCACATCTCTCTCTCCCCCCGACAAGATCCAGTCATTCCGGTTCGCGTTGTTGAACTTTTAAGGGCTTTAAACAGCGGTAACGTGCTGAGGTAACAACACTTACTGTATTGCCAGTGTGTGTGTGTGCGTGTGTTTATATAAATATATGCGCGCAAACGGTGACTAGGAGATGTTAACTACCTTGCCTGGTTCACATGAGGTCGTGTCTGCTGTATATTTGGAATTTGCGGTATCTCACCATCATCACGGTGGCTAGGAGAGGTTAACTAGCTCGCCTGGTGCACAGGAGGTCGTGTGTTCGATCTCGATATTGTGACCCCTGCTGCTGTATATTTGGAGTTTGCGGTGTGTCTCTCTCCCCGTGGAATTGCATGGATTTTTCTCCGGGTCTTCTGGTTTCCCCCCCACCCACACACATTTATAAACATGAGTTCAGAGGATTATTTGGCTGCTATAAATGTCCACGTGATAAGCAACTTTTGTCCTCCCCGCGTACCACAGTCACTTTAAGATGTTTTTATTGTGTTTTTGTTTGTTGTGGTTGCCCCCGATTCAAAGAGCCGGAATGGCTCACAGGGCTATACCAAAATAAATAAACTGAAAAACTGAAAACTAAAAACCTCCGATGAGCGCGTTAGTCTATGTACCGTGCGAAAGAAGTTCAACCTTAAATTGCACGCAGACATTTCGTTGAGCTATCATTTGTGGCCAGGTCGCTTCGGAAAAAGAGCTATACAGCTTGTTGGGCCTTACCCTGGTGAAAAGAAAGAGTTAAGTTTGTTTAGTTTAGTTTAAATAACCTGTGCAGTTGAGTCACTCAAGCCTTCATTATTATCATCATCAGGCCGAGATGCAAAATGAGTTGAGCGATCCAAGGCACTTTTCACAGAGGGTGGTAGAAAGCCGAGAAGAACAAGAGTTAATATCTCTGCTGTACTTTGCAGATATTAATTGTCAGCACCTGAAGCATTTTAAACAGTTCATACCTTTAAATACACACTTATGCGAAATGCCAAAGTCGTGTTACGTGGGTTGTGATTGACACTCATATAAGTGTTGGTATTTTATCCCAGCTAAAATGTGTCTCAGTGTGTTAATTATACAAAACGAGAACACGCGTGACATTTCACCACCAAAACAAATATCCCCCGTATAGCCTTAACAACAGACTGTTGGGGCAAGTGTTAGTGAGCACCTATGAAGGCCGGCACGGCACACGAGGGGGTGGTGGGTGGCCAGCACCACACCCGGCTGCCTTTGTCTCCCCAGTAACCATGTTTACACACTGCACCAGGCACTCATTCCAGGCTGAGTAGACCTAGGTGAGGCGCAGGATCGGTTCAGAGCATCCTCAATGCTATCGTCTTTGAGCGAGAATCGAACTCACGTCGCTGGGTTCGTAGCATAGCACGCAGACCACTACACTACCGCGCCCCCATATACAAAGTAAATAAATAGATTACATAGTGAACCACTTATTTGAACTAATTCATTGCATAGCAGTATTCACCACTTAACATCCAGAGTATAGGAATTGCGATGAAACTTTTTTTTTAAATGTAGGACTGCATAATATAGACTTTCAAACTCTAGTTCTTGTGGCATTATCCAACCGTCCATGTTTTTCAAATGAAATATGCCACTCAGTGTTTGTTCTTGGCTTTGGCCTCTGCCTTGTCGCACTGGATGGAACCTCCCACCACGCATCACTTGAATAGACGTGTTCGTGCCTGAGTTTACGCGGTGAGCTGGCACTTATGCGCTAGTATTGTCGTCAATACAGTATTAACAATTCCCCTAACTCATTTTTTAAAATGTTTCCATTCCAAACGCAGTTGATTTGGACTCGTCATTCACGTTAATGCTTCCTGTTGTCACGCATGACCTGCAAAGTGAGTGCTACTTTCCCCAGGGTGTTGGGGAGGTGACCCTGAACCGCGACCCTGAATCGTGGCAATTCATACAATTATTGCCAGCGGTTGACTCATTTGACACCTTACCTAATAGGGTTACGACGATTCATTGAATAAAATGCACTTCTTATTTCTGTGATTATAATACGCCACGTAGTGTTCACCGACTTTCAAAGGTGGGAGGAACCATAGATAAGTAGCAAGGGAAGCAGCCACGAGATAAACCGATCACCCCCCCCCCCCCCTCCAAGCGTTGTGGTCCTCTATATATTAAGGTTTTAATAGACGATCAATGAGTGATTACATGTGGGAGAAAGCCGGAGCAAGCGTACAAGGGGGAAACACTCTATCCCATACAAATGGAGTTCACGTTTTCTGTACCACCTCCTTCTGGCAAGCCAGGGTATGGCACCTCGACGTCCACGGGGAGGGCGTTTCACAACATGAGTGATCCAATCTTGATTTGAAGCTTTCGTGACTGCGTGTAGAGTATTTGGCGGATATAAATTTCCACATGATTAGCCACTTCGTTAAGCTATCATTTGTGGCCAGCTCGTTTCTGAAAAAATAGCTATATAGCTCAGTGGGCCTTATCTGGTAAAATAAAAATGTTTTAGTTTAGTTTAACTTGAACTCACTTTACATGGCGGCATATACATCATGTCTCCTCAGCGAAATTTTTTATTTGAGCTCTGATTAGCCTACAATTGTTATCACGCAGCTTTAATCATCTTCTACTGCACCTTTAAAAATCCAATTCAATTCCATTAGCTTAGCCATGGTAACATTTAGTTACATCTAGGGGCCAAATTCATGAATTGGTTGAAACATTTCTGCTGAATTTAGGGGTGCATGGAAAATGTTCAGATAAGACAAAGGAATTTTAAAAAATCAAGCATATGCGTTCCAGTGGGTGGAAAAGTAGTAGAAATTAATCAGAACTTTCCCTGTTATTTAATACATTATTTTTGCTCACCGGAATATAAATTTTTCGTATGCGATAGATGACTAGCATTGGGTGGGGCTATGGAGATGCTATGTTTAGATTAATTAAGCAGCAAAATGTTTCCATGACTCATGTTTGCATTTCTGCCAGCTGGAGTTGGTGTAGTCGAAAGGTCTGGCAAAGGCGTGGGCAACATGTCTGCTCCATTCAAATCAGGAGGCTAAATTCGATTTATAGGAACCTCTATTTTATAAAGCGCCTTTCATACTGAAGTATCTCAAACTGCCGTACATACAAATAACACCACTCACAAGTATAGATGAAATCTAAGCGTAAAATGAAGCTTATAATAACAATATCAATGCCTCCTTTCGAAGTTCCAATAAAATGAAGAATTATGACTAAAGCGAATAATAAATACAGAGTAAATCCAATCAGACTCTTAAATAGTTTTTTTTTTTATCTTAAGTGACGAGGGAAAGCCTGTACCAATGGGTGACTTTTAAGACTTGCTTTTAAAAGTAAAACTCAGAATCACTCACCGACCGAGGAAGGGGAGTCTGGCTGCAGAAGGCTTTATCTTCCATAGAACATCATCACCATCATCATTAATATGGATTCATGGATTCAATGCTGGACTAAGGCACCCCCCCCCCCCCCCCCCGCAATGTCTTGACCATTTCTCAGGGTCTTACAATGTCATGGAATGTCAGGCTCCTGCACACGAGTTAATCTCATCTGTCCATCTCCGTGGTGGCTGACCTGTTGGGTGTGTCTCGTCAACTTGTGGTAGAAACCCCACCACTGCTTTACATATCCTGGAGGCAGCCCTTGGCATAATAAAAAAAAACTTCCTGTGCCTGTTCCCATGCAGTTGAGTTTCTGTCTCTGGCAGAAGCAGTTTGCAATGAGTCGCACTGCTGACTTATGGGAGGCGAGTGTTGTAAAATGTAACTGCGCTACAGATTACGGTGGTGTTTACACATTGGTCTCACGATATCCTGGCGAACACGCATTTAGGACACAGTGGTCAAAGTGTATTAATAATGGGCAATGTAATACAGTAATGCGTCGATTCATAGAGCAAATGCAATGCTCACTGTCAAGATACTGTACACGATCGTATTGGTGGACGTTTATTGCATTTAATTTGAATACGTTGTATTGTAATTTGTTCCTGTAAACGACACAAGGTGGAGTGGTGGCACGTTGATAAACGCATTGTGCTATGAGCCCAGAACCTGAGTGTGGGTTCGCAGTCACAGCTAACATCTCTGGTGATCTCAGAACCAGCCCTGGGCTCCCCACCAACCCGCACTGACAATCATGGTGAAGTATAGTCAAAACAACTGACTGACAAGGTGAGGGGAGGCCTTCATCCAGCAGTGGATTTACATAGGGTTATAAATAGGGCTTCTTTTTACGTGCAT